AAAAAAGAGAGAGAGTACTTAGACCGTTGTCCTTGGGAGCACCTCGCTTGGGACATGCTGGATCGTTTCTATGATGATCAGTAGCTCCACAATCAAAGCAGGCGCCTCCCGAGGACGGGTACCGCCACTGGTTGATCCACTGTTTCGATCCTGGGGAGACTCCCAACTTTTGCCTCAACTGCTTTGTCAATTGCTGCCTGGAAGGCTTTGCTGGGATCCCTTGGATCCAAGATGTTGGCAGGCTCATAAGTTTTCTGGTTGATGAGGACCCGATAGAGGCATCCAAGTCATTCAAAGTGTCGAGTGCTTCCAATTGTTTGTTCCCATAGTTGCTATCAAATCCGTTGTTTCACTCTTGACACACAAAGCTCATGGACTTTGGATCGAAAGTATGGACAACCACAGCCAAGGAGACCTCTCAGGATGTGCTGGTTAGTTCAGGCTGGGATCACTGGACATGAAGTTCAATCGAATCTCTTTGATGATCTTGCTTGATCAGACAACATACATGGAAACATTCTCCCAGGGAACTTGGTGTGTCCAAGTGAAGTAGCTGGCTTTGAGGGTTTCAATTTACTGAGAGAAGGTCTGTATATTTTCTGCAGAAGAGCCAAGAGAAGTTGGGGCCCATTGTGTTTGGCTCGAGGAACATATGATTTGAGTTCTTCCTGGAGAGCATCAGTGCAAGAATTTAGAACAGCCTTTCCTGACCAGGCAAGGTTGTCAAATCATACTGGCAAACAGGATGTAGCTTCAGAGTTCCAGCATCGATGAGTCCGACCCATTGACTGTGAGGTCCTGATGCCATTTTTCCATCATAGACTCTGAGACCTGTCCAGGAGCAGTGAACATGTTGATTGTTTTGATAGTGTTGGTATTGAGATCTCCAACAACAAGCTGAGAAGACCCTTCCATTCATGTTCAGTCATCATACTTTCAAAGGCGATGAGAGAGGCTAAAACATGGACCCAGAGGCATTTGACTCAGTCAAAGTCGAGAATAGAGACTGGGGGAATCCTTCAGTCCTTTCTTGCATGCCAATTCAATGGGCTGGAGTGTAGTGTGATGTTTTAGATGGTCGTCTCCATGAAAACCCCTGAGGCATAGGGTGCTTTGAGGTTCCTTTCCCAGTCCATCTGAGCCGGATCCTGTCCAGGCTCCAGTGTGGTTGATACCTCCAAGCCGAGGGGCTTCTGTAAGCTTGGTCTTCTCTTTGGTTTTCCCGATGTGCTGGAGGAGCTCCTGGAATGAACTGCGGTCAATGGTGTGCAGTATGATTGGAGGATCAGATGGTGGGATGATGGATCAGATTCAAAGAAGGCTTGTCTGAAGCCGTGGACTGAACAAGGATGCTGATGCTGAATATGATGATGATGATGACAAAGAAGAAGAATGAAGATGAGGATGCTGAGGCAGAGGAAGCGTCGTCAAGGTCCATTAATAGCTGATGGAATAAGAGGCAGTGAAAATCAACAACAGTGCTGCGGCAACAAGAGGAGCGGCAACAAGAGGAGCGGCAACAAGAGGAGGCCGGTGGATATCCAGTCAATCGAGTCAATCGAAGATGGAATTTATGAAGATAACAGCTCGACCGATAAAGATTCAAACGACGAGAACTCGCTTGTCGACGCGAAAGATAACAGCTCGACCGATTCGCCGAACTGTTATCTTCGTCGTCGTTCGCTCGAACAACTGCAAGCCAGTTCAAACGACCAATGCCGGTCCTGGGTAGACAGAGACCAACTGTCGATCGACCAACAGCCACATGAACAACAACCTCACGAGCGATCGATCGCTCCGTGCAGTTGTTGTTGTTCTTCAGGTTTCGAATGAAAAAGTGAGGATCGCTCGTGTTCTTCACGTTAAAGTGAGGAGTTTGCTTCGAAGATATAAGGCAAGCATGGCTCAGCCTTCCCGAAGCATGACTCAAGGCATGACACACAAGCCGAGCCTTATATATGCAGTCAAGCCTCATTTTTCGATGAATTCTGTTAACTCGATCGATCGATCCAATCGATGGATCCATGCTGAAGCTGAGCATGGAATCGGCCAAGGCTTTGCCGGTGATAGAGATAACAGTAGTATCAGTAATGGCTCCTGCAGCGATCGATTGATCGTATTGGATAATAGGATCCTCATTGAGATTACGATCGTCAATAGGATTAAGAACAAGGGGACTGCTTTTGAGCAAATCCAAGATAATAGGATGATCCTCACTGAGATTACGATCGTCAATAGGAGTAAGAACAAGGGGATTGCTTTCGAGCGAATCCAAGGGAAGTGAGTTGCAATAAAGGGAAGGACTACCGATGAAGAATGCAAGAGGAAACTCATCAGGAGCAATCTGCATCAAGGAGTAGCACATTCCATTGACAACCATAGGGGATAGACATATAAGAAATAGAATGAGTAACATCTCATAACCTCGCATGCTACCATGCGACAATACCATTGTGCATTGATTAATCTAAAGATCTAAGAGATGTAAAGTTTGTATTTCCAAATAAGTGAGCAGTTATTGATTATTTTCTAGAATAAGCCTGCTAATTGTAAAGCTGTAAAGCTGAATTGTAAGCTGTATCCCGTCGCAACAACAGTGTAGTTGCTATTCATGCTTACAAGTTGTACCTACAGAGGCCCGGCACCGTCTACGAATCCGGACAGAGCAAATCGGGCTCAACTCTCTTCAAGATCGTTCAGTACAACGGCAACAACGCGGCGATGTCCGCGGCTATTCTTTAGATATAACACAGAATTAAAAAGACTTTAAGAACTACATGAATTCATTTCCATTCAACCTAGATCAAGCATTTTTACATTACCCAGATCAATGGTTTTCGATCGACCCAAATCGACGGAAGCGAGGCGGGTGTTTCTTGCCCTTGACCTAAACCAGTGATCGTTGCTCGACATAACTGAACTGGAAATGGTAATGTAGGTATGTGCAATGCACAGTTCTGGCTGGGTGACACGTATGTTCATGGTAGTTCGCTTTTTCGTTGCTCTTGACCCGAATCTTTGATTGTTGCTACAAATAAATGAATTGGAAATGGCTAGGTAAATATGTATGTATGTATGTATATACGTATGTAAGTACCGAATCAATTATATACATTTGTACATGAAAAGGGTGCATGTATTTGCTTGCAGGGCATTGCGCTGCAGGTATTGCATCTGGTGGAATTGACAGGGTGGGTGCGTATGTACGTATAACTTATGTAAGTAGTAATTAATTGCATATAATTCGTTATCTACTTAGTTAGTTACTTACCCTGTGCATTACTGCGTTCCTTACGATTACTTCCTTACGATTACTTACTATGTACTTACTTCGTACTTTGTAATGCACTATTCCATTCCGCTTGTATTCTCCTTTCCATTTCAATTCCCTTTCCTTCTCGGTCCCTTCCATTTCACGGTTCCATTTCCTTTTCCTTCTCGGATTTCACTTTGTTAATTCCCCTTGCCTTCTCTGATCTTTCTTTTCCGGTCTCCATTCTCATGTTTGCTATACATTTCCTCTGTCCAATGTTACGATCCAAATTTCTGTTCTCACAATCAGTATGTACAGTTCCTTCTTCCCCTTCACAAACATCGGTTCGCTGGTTACAATGGCCATTTCCCATCCACCGAACCCAGTATGTTTTAGTTCTCACTTCCGATGCGCAATCTCCTTTGGCATTTCCCGACACAGCTAGTCGAAGCAGCCTTTGCTGTTTCAATACCGTTGCAACTCACAATTCTAAAGCTGTTCTACTCCATTCTGTATGCGTATCTGATCCGTGTACCATTCACAGTTCCAAAGCCGTTACTATATCAGTCGGTGTTTCTTTCATTTCGTTTTCCAGAACCTTTTCCTCTGCAGTTGCTGTACCTTTCATTTCCAGAACCTTTTCCTTTGCAGTCACTGTACATTCACATTTCCAAGGCGTTTTCTATGTACTTACTTACTTTTACTTCCTTACTTATTTACTTACTTACTTTATCGCTATTGCTATTCTCCTTTTGCTCATTCACAAATGTCCTTTTTCCCATTGCCAAATTTCCAAATTTCCTAACCCTGAGCTCTTCATGCATTCGCTTGATCGCCTTGAACCGCTCTGACACGATCCCAAAATCTTTCAGTTTCCGAGAGACGGCAGCTTCCAAAGCACGTCGCATTGACTCTATCACTTGTAGCAACTCTTCCGCACCCTTCACACTCCGATCGACAGCATCAAGTGTGGACTGAGCAGGCATTTCAAGTTTTTGATCAAGTTGCCAGACTGCACTGACCAATTCAATGCCAACCAACTCGTTGCCTGAACTATGCTCCAGAGGAAGCTTCCAAACCAACTCATTTTTGAGCGTAATCTCAACCTTCCACTTTGCTTTTTCTGGTATGTCGGCGGAGGGAGGGGGCTGGTACAGGGAATCAACTGAGTCGTAGAATTCTGTCAACTGTTCTTGAATGACTTTATGTTCCTCGAGGGATCGCAACGACGCCATAGGAGGGACTAGCTCCATAAACTCCTCTGCATCATTTCTTTCCAAGCTGCGCCAGGTTCGAAGTCAGACGATGTTGTCTTCCTTTTGCTCATTCTCGTTTGGACACATGGGGTACCGTCCCTTGCAATGTGCAAAATAGAACGACACGCATGCGTCTTGAGCCTTTTTGTCATCTTCAGGTGTAGCAGGAAATTCGTATACAATGTGACCAGACCTGTCATGGAACGGCTTTCTGACAGCACTTCCTTCGCCTTCGGCCAAGACCTCCACGACACTATTCAGCGTGACCTTCTTGATGAATCTGTTGCGATTATCGTTGATGATTGTATCGGCCCCGTATGGGTTGGCAACGCAATGATCCTCGTCCATTTTCGGAGTATCTTTTAGTTGTGGGAAGCCCTGATTTTCGTTCTTATAGCCAAGTTTCTCTCTCTGCACAAGTTCGAGGATCCACTCCAGACCCTGAACCGGATCACTCTGTGTAGGGTCAGGGTTAGTCTCAATTAAGGTGGGTGCCATGGACCAAGAGGCAGTGACAAGGCGGTAAAATTAGTTGAGGTATTTCATCACGGTGTCATATTTGACCATTCCTTTGGAACCATTCCCTGCGGCTTCTGCAGATCGTCTAGCAACAACAAATACCTTTTTGTACATCTCTGGGATCCTTTTCATTGCTATCTTCGCGACAATACTGCTTTTCGTGCCTGAAAAGGTCAGCTCGAAATAGGGACGTTTGGGAGGAGGTTTCATTGAATCTGCAAACGCAATTGAAGCAACCTCTTCAAAAGTTGCGTCCCGATAGTTGCCATCCTGCAATTTGCCATCATTCACATAACACAGCGACAGAAGGATGATGGGCTGAAAAAACTTGAGGCATGTGGGCACGTGTTGCCTGCCGAGCATCACTGCAGAGAAGCTGGGGTACCAAAAACGGAAAAAATTGAGTAATTCTTCCACAGTCATGGCTTCGAACTCTTTGTTCCACTCATCATCCTTTTTAATTTTTTCATCCTTGGCAAATTTGGCTGGAATATGCTCTGTGAATTGCTGCACAATAATGTCGCCGGTGTGTTCGCCGATATATCTGTTTCCTATTTCAGGGATATCTTTTTTTTTTTTAAGCAAGTCAGGATCGTCAAGCAAGTTAGGATCCGCAGAAGAGGCTTGGATTGTTTTCCGTTTTTTCTTGGGTTTCTGTTTGCCTTTGTCTTTGCCTGGTGAAGAAAACGACCGGCCGCTACGTGTTGTACGTTTCTTATCCTCCTTGCTTCCATCCTCCTCGCCTTCATCGCTAATTTCGACCAAAGGGTGTTTCGTACTCATTTTGTCAGTGAAGAACTTTGACCTCACTGTCTGTCGACACTGTCAATGCTGTTCTTGCGTCGTCCGACATGATGGAGAGTAACAAGCTGTTGCTCTCACACTACTGTATCACTCTCCTACTACTACTACTACTACTACTACTACTACTAGCTGCTAGTGGTGTAGAGTACTGTACTGTTGTGTTGATTTCGATTGCTTCTGAGATTATGTCTGGAAGGCCCTTTTAGAAGTCACTTTTAGACTCGACTCTGTTACAGAACCGTTATTCTGCGCGCCTGTTGTCCCGGTTTTTGAAAAACCGGGACAACAGGCGCGCAGAATAACGGTTTCAGTTATACTGGAGTTTGCCCAATATTGGGTTAGGGTTTGCACGCCTGTTGTCCCGGTTTTTCATCACAGGACAACAGGCGCGCAAAATAACTGTTTCAGTTATACTGGAGTTCGCCCAATGGAGAAGTCACGCTATACCCAGTAGAGGCAGTGGTGGGGGGATCAAGGGGTGTTGTTGGTTGATGGGGCTGTGTTACTGGTTGACACTGTGTTGTCTCAAAGGCTGGTACTCAATCTGGTGAAGGCCACCACAGACTTCGGCAGAGAGTCAAGCCAAGATTTGTAGAGGGTACTCGATTCAGTGGAATGGACAAAGACTGAGGAGTCACTCAACAATCAGCTAGAGAGGTAATAGGGTCAGGCGGTGGTTGATATCTGAGCCACACCACGCTGCGGTTCTGACTGGGGCTCAATCCTTTGGAGTCAGACACACTCAGTAGGAGAGTCAGGAGCAGGAGCAGAGAGGTGACTGGTTCAATAAGGGGGGTGTTGCACAATCTAGCTGTGGTGCTAGAGGGGCAACTTTTGTTGGTTCTTGTGGGGGTGAGATCCTTTGAGAGGAGCTGGATATCCCAGGGGGGCTGTAAACCAACCAAGAAAGCAGCCGAGCCTGGAGATAGCAGAACTCAAGTCCTTACAGGAACTCTGTTGTTGTTTGTTGTTCCTCTGGAGAGGAGTTAGATATCAATGGGGGAGTGGTAAAGTAGCAGGAGGTATCAGTGCCAACAAGGACGTCGGGAAAAACCACTAGTGGCCAGTGAGAAGTAAGAAATACAGCTGTGTTTCTGTTCTCGGCGGTCACTGCAGGTATCTCGTGAAGTCCTGCTTGATGATAGGCTGTGTACGGAGGAAGAGGTACGGTCGCGGGAAGTCGATTCACGGAGTAGCGAGTCTTGGATCGATTCGATTACCAGGTCAAATCGATTCGATTTGGAGTTCGCGTTTCCGGTGAGTCAGTTGCCTTAGGGATAAGGTTAACCGAGCCTGTTGTTGTTGAGGAAAAAGATCGATCGTTCGAAGAGAGGATCGGCCGACAATGGGATTTCTTGGGCCGTCGGTAGTAAGAGCAATGTCAGTTCACTGCAGGGTATGGAGGAAACTTGCACTGCTGAGTCTACTGAAAGCCGGTGACTTCTTCTTGTGTTCAAATTCTTCCAACTTGGCCGTCGGCAGTTGAGAATAGAAAACCCGCCCGATCTCGTAGGATTTCAATTGGGATGGCTTTCTAATCTGAACCGGGGAAGCCCGCTTTGATAGTCGCTTGATAGAAGAGGTGCGCTTGATAGGAGATACCAGGGGAGGTGTCGATCCTGTCAACCAGAGGGCTTGAATGAAAGATAAAGAGAGGAAAAGGGGTGTGTGTTTTCTGTGATGATGTTGGGTGGATTCCTATAGTAAAACAGTACTCTTCAACAAGATAACAGATAACAGGCTTCCTGAGGTCTTTTCGCTTCGTTTCAATGCTTCCAATGGGTCTAATAGGTGTGGTGATGGTATAGAAGTGACCGTCGTATTGTTATCGTTGTTGCTATTAGTGTTTTTGGTTGACAGATCCAGCAGCAGGCGCGCAGAATAACTGTTTCAGTTTGGAAAAGTGCGCCTGTAGCTGTAGTGCTCTGCTCAAGATTGGGTTAGGGTTTGCGCGCCTGTAGTGAAACCGTTATTCTGCGCGCCTGTTGTCCCGGTTTTTCATCAAAAACCGGGACAACAGGCGCGCAAACCCTAACCCAATCCGTGAGGTTTCCTCACGATACGACTTAATGAAGGGGTTTGTAAGGGGCCAGTTGATCCAAAATTTGGCAGCTCCACACAAGGCCTACTGGGTCTGGCAATATAGGGCGCTGCGGTGGGTTTGTTGTGATCAATAATTCCTTGCTTCAATTGCAACAATTCCTCTGTGGTGGACGAGCTGAACTATGAGCACTGCTAGCTACTGGCCAGCTAGCAATTCAAACCAATGACAGTGCCAGCAGTCTTCATAGATAGCGGTAGCTCGAATGGCTCTCCACCCATAGTCTGTGTTGCCATGTGCTGTCTCTTTTCCCAGTGCTTTGCTAGAAACACCATTGGTACTATTCCCAGCCCTTTTGTCATGGTCACGGAACATGACCGGCGGTACTTCGTTCCTTGGTGCTTTTGCATGCTGAGAATTTTGACGGCAGCAACACTTGACTTATGGCAGTGGTGTTGATGCTGCCTTGACTTGATGCAATTGACTCTACCTGGTACTAGTAGCTAGTACTCGACTCTCACCGGAGCTGCCAATGTACTTTGACGTCGGCCTGTTCTTGTTGTCGCCTTAGCGTCGTTTGATCCCTTGATCGCTTTCGACTGCTTGCACTCTTGGGGTCTGTTGCGCTAGTGTTCAAAGGGCAGGTCCTTGTATGATAGCTCTGTTGTAGCTCTTGTCGTTGCCGTGTAGTCACCCTGGCAATCTGGCTTGTTGCCATGGTATTTTTCGTCGCACCTCAACTCTAGTAGCCTATTTCGGTGGCTCTCTTGTTGAGGATAGGAGCTCTCCCGCAGAAGTACCTCTGCGGTCTATCTCCCTCTTGCTGTTGGAACTTGATATCTAGTTCCTCTTCGTGGAAACACCTCTTAGTGTTGGCTCTTCTGGACTCATCGTGTCGCTTCTGTTGGTTTGGATCCGTACCGGTACTCTGCTCCGGCCACTACTTCTGCACTACGCCGTGCGATGAGTCTGCTCTTATAGTTAGTTTTCGTATCTGCACTGGGATAGTGTATCTCCAGTCATCGTAGCTCAAAGTCTTCAGTTTGCTCACTCCTGTGAGCTAGCTGCGTTCCTCGGCACAAAGTCTTGATCGGCTGCACTGGCGCATGTCATTGCAGCCATTTGCCCTAGCCCATTTGAGAACTTCCAAATTGCTAGCAGCTGCAGCACTCGAACATGTCATTCCACTCATTAAACCAAGCCCACAAGCCCACTTCAATAGCACCAAATGGTTTGCGTCAATCGGTCATTGTCGCCTCTTGGGTATTCAGTTTATTTATATTATATATATTTAAATATATATTAATGGTGTTGGTGTTGGTGTTGGGTGGTATTGTTCAGAGACCTTGTGCCCTTTTTTTAAAATGGGTGAACGAATTTAGCTGACTAATTAGCTAGGACAACTGCGCGCAGGGAGTTTACCTTTTCGAGGCAAGAGGTAAACTCCCTGCACGCAAAATAACGTTATTAACTGCTTTGCCATGTGGGTTTCAGAGAATTTTGGCCCAAATGGCTTGAGCTAAACTTAACCCTAGCATACACCTATTCTGCTTCGATCAACTGAAGTACATACTCAAGAAACCCGAAGAACCCAAAGAACCATGAAGAACCCTGAAGAACCTGAAGAACCCTCGGTGATCTAGCTAGGTACGGTGGTGAGTGAAGGTTCACTACTCACCACCTGACACCTGACCTTGAGAGTTGAGAGATCAGGCGGAATAAGAGGTTTTGGGTGTTTTGCCCAAAACCTCTAATTCCGCTTCATTTGGTTCTGTATCAGCCAGTTGCTGGAGCACTGGAGCATCATTATTACTGGGTATGGCTGCCACGGGTTGGTGGCTGGTGGCTGGTTGACGATTGAGACGATGTTCATTGCCATTTTGTTGTTGTTTCCACTCCTACAGCTCACATCCCGAATATAATATACTAGTATATATATAGTATATTATACTAGTATATATATATGCTACATGAGCCAAGAACCCATGTACTGCCACTGCTACTGCCTGCCTGGTACTGGTACATGTCTCATCCTCTCTGGTGAGGCTCAACTCAACTCGACTCGACTCTGACTCAACTCATCAGCACTGGGCTAAAGCCTGTGTTTTGGTGATTCAGCAGTTTGTGCTGATCAAGAGTAAAACTACTTAATTCAGTCACTTTTTGCTAAAATCGTATGAATTTATAGCTCCAGTATAGTGTATAACTGAAACAGTTATTTTGCGCGCCTGATGTCCCGGTTTTTGATGAAAAACTGGGATAACAGGCGCGCAAACCCTAACCCAATATTGGGCGAACTCCAGTATAACTGAAACAGTTATTTTGCGCGCCTTTTGTCCCGGTTTTTGATGAAAAACCGGGACATCAGGCGCAAACCCTAACCCAATATTGGGCGAACTCCAGTATAACTGAAACAGTTATTTTGCGCGCCTGTTGTCCCGGAATCAGAGGTTTCAGCTCTTTTGGCTGAAACCTCTAATTCCGGGCCAGTAGTAGTGACATACAATTTTAGCAAAAGTGACTGTAAGTTTACTCACAAACTGCCGAATAATTCGATTCAATGGAATCGAATCGCTAAAATAGTGAGTGTTGCTGCCTCTCCCTCCGAGGCAAGCCTCCTCTATGCTGGTGTTCTGGTTGCGACTTGCTTGGATAAGGATCTTGGATAATCCGATGATGGATGATTGTAGCCTGGTACACAAGGCATGCCCCGACCGTTGGACATGGGCACAACCTTCAGGTTGAGACACAACTCGCTCGAAGGGGAAGACAACTATGGTACAAACCATTATATTAATACAACTACAGGTACTGGTACTACAACTCAACGTTTTTCTCATGTTCTCAAAGCAAGGCGAGCCAAGAATCTTTCATCGTTGCACTCAACGCCCATCTCTCGTGATGGGACCAGAAAAGGACTGATGAAGACTGTCACTCTTTTCAGCGGCGTACCGTGACTCTACAATAATAAATAGTAGTAGTAGTAGGTAGGTAGGTAGGTACGTATCCAACTTCTCAATCGTGATGTCTTTCATCAATGTACTCAACGCCCCTATCGTGACAGGGACCGACCGATGAAGACTCCTCTTTTTCAGCAGCATACACTACCATGACCTACTCTACCATGACTCTACCTATAATATTACCTACTACTACCTGGTAGTATCCAGCCAACTCCTCAATCGTGATGTCTTTCATCAATGTACTCAACGCCCCTATCGTGACAGGGACCGACCGATGAAGACTCCTCTTTTTCAGCAGCATACTACCATGACTACCTACAATATTTAGTAGTAGTAGTAGTAGTAGTAGTAGTAGTAGTATCCAGCCAACTCCTCAATCGTGATGTCTTTCATCAATGCACTCAACACCCCTATCGTGATGGGACCAGACCGATGAAGACTCCTTTCAGCAACCGATACAAGGATGCATCCGACGCATTAGAAACACAAAATCGATATCATTCTCTCACAGTCTCTAAGATTCTAGAAAGTACTAGTACCGACCAGCCAACCATGAAGACCAAGAACCATCCTTCCAGCACCAAGAAGGCTACTACCGCTCCTGCCAAGAAAGCTCAAGGGCCTAGCAAGACCATGCGCCCAGCAAAACAGGCTGCCGTCGCCAAGCTATGCACGAAGGCAGACATCATGCACCCAGTGTCTGGATCCGAAAAACAAGTCCAGGCCAACACCATCGCTGAGTTGGTGGCCGAGAACAAGAGGCTTACTACCGAGGTGAATGGGTTGAAGCGCAGCTGCAAGCATTAAGAAGAATGTGAACGCCTCGAACGCCTCTTCTCTGAATAAGCCAATGCTCCCCCCGCCGAAGTTTCCTCGGTTTCCGAAGAAGAAAGCAATTGATGGTGCACTGCAAACACCCATCTATTTATTGTTGGTATGTGCCGGTCTTATTGCAACCCAGCCAGCCCACCCAACCCACCGACGCCTTCGTCTTTCTTCAAATATTGTATCCAGAACAAGCTAGCTAGCTCTATAATCTGCTAGACTCTGTTTTATCTATGAAATTCCTTCAGCATAGGTGCTGGTGACATTCTTGTTGTAGTGTCTACATGTAGCTAGTCAGTTTATTGTCATGCATGTTTTGAGTCAAGTCTCGCCAAACAGGTCAGGTTTTAGCGATTGGGCAGTTCTGCCCTACCAGTACTCAGTGTTAAGTCACTTTTTGGATATCCCTGGATTCTCTAGCTCTCTACAAGACTCCCTTCCTTTGTTTGGGAAGCAATGCAAAACAAAAGCAGCGCCATGCAGCCAGACAGAAACAGTGTCATGGAGCCAGACAGAAACGAAAGCAGTGCTTTCCTGCAGTCAGAGGTGGGGGCGGGGGCTACATGTTTTACTGATACTGTCAAAAGCAGTGTCATGGAGCCAGACAGAAACGAAAGCAGTGCTTTCCTGCATGATGATAAATGTTTCTTCACTCATCTGGATGGTGTTGATACTTCCGATTCTGATGCAGATTGTCCTGGCTTTGGGGGCGCCTTCAATACAGTTGTAGCGGAATCAAACACAGATGAGGAAATAGACCAATCAGATGGCGACTTAGCCCACGACAAAGATGAGGGGGTGTACCAACCAGATGGCAACTCAGGTCACCGCCAAGGCAGGACATGCCAAGACTCACACAGGCTGTTTGGCCAGGCGGACAATGCAAGCGTCAATCAGAACGAAAGTGACACCATCACATCCAAAATATCAGCGGCACTTCTTGCCGGAAATACTACAAAAGTGAGGTCGCTATTCTATGTTTCTTTGAAGAAATTTACAGACTTGGCTGGACACTGGGCAAAAGAAGCTGGACAGCTCCTACAACTTCCAATGGAAAGCAAGAAAACCTTGTTGCGTCATCTTGGAAGCAGCTGTCGTTGGAAAGGTGTTGATGAGATGAATAACCACATCTTTGGTGAACTTTTGGCCAATGCAGCTGTGCCAAGTTGACGGGGAACCGCAGAACCTTGGAATGATCAACTTGCATATGCCTGTGCATAACTGCCTGCCTGCGTAGGTGCTATATTGGCAGAGCTCGTGTTGATCTCTTCCTTGCAATTCCTCAGCCTACAGCGAACTACGAAGAGCGTTTGCTTTGAATGAGTACTGGAAACTGAGGTTGTGCCAGGGAAGCTGCAACCGAATCCTCTTGGGGATGGAACCCATTTTTGGATTGTTTTTGAAGGAGCGCGTGGTGAAAGATATCTAATTATAGGGAGCTGCATCTATACCTTACGTGTGTATTTGCTAGATTTCTACTTCGCCTTCCTTCAAGACAATGCTGCAAACGCTCTCACAGGCAAAGCTGTCATTTCTGCGATGATTATGATGAATTCTTGTTGGTGATGCTGATGAGGAGGCCAACGATACGCCTCCAGGACTCAACGGGGGAGTGTCGGCGGCAATGCAAGGTCGGTCCATTGCTTTGTGATGGGAGGACAGCCACATTTCAATCATTCCTTCTTGACCATCCTCCAATATAGTGAGACTGGGCTTGCGACGATGGGGCATTGCAGGAGGCAAGGATGAAGGCTTCGTTATCGTTGTTGATGATATGACTGGCAAAGATGCCCACATGGCCGCCGTGAAAGGGTTGTGCACCTTGTAGTCGTCATTGGACTTTTCCGAAGAGGAGGACATTGATGATCCCGCATCGAGATCTTCCAAATGCAAGCTTGGTTTGCGTCGGTGTGGTTGCAAGGGCGGCATGGATGCTCGACGACGAGTGGGAGAAGGCAGTTGCGGCGGCTTGGTAGGATGCTCTACAGCGGATTCGGTCGTTTTGGCCGTGGCAGTTGTAGTGGATGACGGCAAGGGACACTCGTTGTCGTCGTGACGAACCAATCGACTGATCGGCGGTACATGGACACACTCATCATCGCCAGCAAGCAATCCTCCTCCTCCAATGGAAGGCCAAGATGCTCTCAAATCTCGTTGTTGCTGCTTGGGTGGTCTCGGAGTTGTGCTTCGGCTACTGTTATTGCTGGAATTATGTGACATCGTGGGCATGGACGCCCACAAGGCTTGAATGGGGCTGTCGTTATCGTTGTGGTCCTTGTCGTCTACATGCAGACTGGGCTTTCGTCGATGAGGTTGCAACGGAGGCAAAGACATGCGTCGCTGCAACTCGGCTTGGGTATTACTAGGCTTTGTAGTAGTGGTAACAGAAGAAGTGTTGTTGTGACTTCTGTTGCTCAGGGGTGTTGGTGCCGTGTGCTGTTGTTGCATCATCAACGTGTCCATGTTGTCATTGATGTACCCACGACAGTCCGAAAAGAAGGACGGCAGCGAAAGATCCATTGACATTTCAATAGCTGAGATATCCAAGCAAATGTCGGGATCAGGGTGGATGGAGGTGGGTGTTCTGGCGCAAAACTGGTTCTTTGGGGTGGCCATTGCTCCTTGTGTTGTTGTTTTTGGAGTGCTGGCGGCAGTGGCAATGGTGGCTTTTTGCTGCTGTGGTTGAATGGGAGCAGCAGCAGTAGCGAGCCACTTTTCTTCCGTGGTGTTGTTGGTAAAATACAAGGGAATACTGGATGAATCTTCTTCTCCTGGGTGTGTGGTGCACACTCGAGGGGGCATTTTGAGCCACGCTTGGAACATTCGATCGTCACAAGAGGTATCGTTGGCTGTGGTATCATCTTCCTCTGAAGGGTCGCAGTATGTCATGAGAGAGGTAGCTTGGGCCTGTTGTACGAGCGCCACTTGCAGTGGCGTCGGCAATTGGTTTTCATCGTCGTCCTCTCCGGCAAAGGTTCGTTCACTGTTGCTGTTGTCGTTTAGCAACAATTCGCTTTGTCTGACGTTCAAGATGGGCTCCGAGTTGGACCATCGTTCTTGTTGAGTGGGTTGCTGGGGCATGTTGAGCCAAGCATTGATGGCCGGGGTGTGTAGCGTGGGATGAGGGGTTGGGGTGGTCGACTTGTAGTTTCTGGTCGGTCGCCGCTGGGGTGTCTCGAATGCTGTGACTGGATCCAAGCTGGTATCATCGTCGTCATCCCTGGCATCATGGTTGTTATCATCATCATCATCATCATCATCATCATCGGCGGTATTGCTAACGTGTTGACTGAAGCGTTCGAGAAGCGCTTCAGGTGTAAGGGAAATGGCTGGTTGGACTGTACTGCTGGGGGACGGCTTTTCGACGGTTGGCTGTCGTACGGGGCGAGGGACGGGCCGGTCGAGGTGAACACGATTCTCAATGGTGGCCTTGTGTTTGTTATCGCAATCGTTGGTGTTGTCATTGTCATTCTGATGCTGTTTGTGTACAACAACGCTGCGCTTCATGACTTGCATGGTGGCCCGTGCATCCGCTCGTTTGTCATGACGGGGCGGTTTGGGTCGTACAATTCTTGCGGGAGATACCTTGTTACTGGTAGTAGTGGAGGATGGCACTGACTTTTCTGGCTTTGCATGGATGATTTCGTCGAGTAGATCTGGAAATGCATCGCTCCCGAGCGTCTGCTGCCGTCGGGGACAAGCCACGGGTCGATCGAGGACGGGCAATGGTTGTGTCTGTGTCGGGGGCGGTTGCTGTCGATCATCCGCGGCTTCCTGAGCTGCCATGGAAGCTCCTCTCGCAACAGCGGCCACTTTCGAATGCGTACTATCACTGGTGTTCTGGCGTCTGTGCTGAGAGCCCTGCATAACCGTGGGCTTGGGAGTTGTGGTCCCTGAGGAAGGTTGAGCCAAGGGTGGCAATACATTCGAAGCATTCTTAGCTTGGTCTGCTACTGATGCATGACATTGAACGTGATGTTGCGCACTGGTACATGCAGGATCATGATGCAGCGTCTGCAAGAAGGCTTCCAGAGACGTAGGGGCTTTTCTCTCGTCCTCTGAACTTTTGCTACCGGCACCGTGACTAGAAGTATCAGCACTAGCACTACTACTACTACCGATCTCACTGGAAGATCCCGAGTTGGAGGAAGCAGTAAAGTGTGAAACGTAGACATTCTTGGTGTCCACGGCTCTCTTGGGGGAATCAACGCCTCGAGCTCGTCGCTTAATACCATTCAACTTGGTAGTGTCCACGTGTGCACAAGTCGGCTGCTTTACTGGTACCGGTACCGGCAGCTTGTGCTGTTTTTGTTTTTGCGGGTGAAAGAGCTCAATGACACTGGAAGGACTAGACGAACACGAATCATTGGACGAGCAAGTTGCAGGTTCCGGTAGGTCTCGCTTGTCCTGAAGCTGCTGCTCTTGGCGAAGACGGATCTTGGCGTCTGGCTCATGCATATCAGTGCTGCTCAAGCAACAACTCCGATTGATGAGCATATTCACATTGTGGTGGTTGCCCTGGCTTAACCTAGCTATAGACCCAGAACTGCTTGTACCAGCAGTGCTAGGACTCAGCGCAGCATCATTTCCTTCTACTGGTCGTAGAACTTGAACAGTATCCGAGCGGTTCATTCCTTCGAAAGCTAGCTAGCTACTACTCTAGCTAGTACTCAGTAGCAAGTTGTTCCGGTGAATCAAAATCAAACCAACGTGATAAATAACTGGGAAGACGCCGCTTGCACACACAACTGGCTAGCTATAGCTAGTGTTTTCGTTAGCTAGATAGATAGCTGCCTTTTGGCTTTTGGTAGTTGCAAATTATGAGACCATCCATCAATCCACAACGTCTCGGTCACACCTACGGATCCTCAGTTTAAATACCTGTCATCAACGAACCGAAAACGTGAGAACGACGCAGCACTTTTGGCTTTGACCCAGCGAGCGTTTAGCAGATGAGATATGGTAATTAGCCACCACGACCCATATTTGTCTCCACAGTGGACAATGCTTTGCAAGCTCGACAAAGACACCTCGTTCTACCGCTGCGTACGAAGCTTCCACACCCCCATCAACTTACTGGATCAATGACCGCACCTCGACAAGAAAACAGTGAGCAGGCCGCATCAATCTTTGTTCAACTCCTAAGGCTCTTATTCACCTTTTTGTTGAAGTGCACAACTTCTGCATAAATACAAAGAACCCAGTTATGATCCATTCAGTTCAAACGACGCACTTGTTTAGGATCCACGAATGACTGTGACTCGGAGTCACAGTTTTCGGCGAGGGCACAAGACTTTTGGGCTATTCTACGCACTCCCGCAGCCTCGCCGCATTGGTTTTCCTTTTGGAAATCTTTCATCTGCCCCAATCTCTGCTTGTGGTACCGTACACGAGCACCCGATACTAGCCGGTACCGTTATTGACAAGGTTTCTATTTTCTATCTTCTGAGGAAGCATCAGCATGATTGAAAACCCATAGTTGCCGAAGTATCTGAGCTCAACCCTGAACTACATGTACATTTACCACTATAGTTTGGATCTTGCGGTGCTGAAGTTGCCGAATAGTACGGTACCGGCACCGGTATCATCTAACGTATCGTACGATGTACGGTATTGTCTCCGGCTAGATGGTGCTACGTGTACTGTGCAATACGGTACCACTAGCACACATCACGACCCGTTAAAAACCAGACTGGTAACTTGTCAGTGAGCAAGATACGCCTAGCATTGGATACTTTGTTCCATTTGCCCTTGCTTTTAGTAGTGTTGCTTGCTTGTTGATTTTGATTTTGATTTTGTTTGCTACTGCTTCCCTGTTGGAAGGGAGAGTCAAAGGGATGCATTATTGGCATTCTTAACAGCAGCCAATGCATTGTTTCGTTGCTTGCTTCTTGACTGGTTGTTTGTTGGATACTGTTGACTCCTCTTTTGGCTGGTTCCACTCGTGTGGCCTGGGCTGGGACTGAAAGTTGCAAAAAGCGGTATGCTACTTGTGCTTGTACGATGTAGTCCACTTGAATAGAATGTTCCGCATCCGAAGATCTTTCATCCTCTTCATTGAGTTTGGAATGATTCTATCCTCGCTCGTCGATTGAGCAAGTGATAATTCATGCCACTGGCCAACTCCGAGTCTTGAGCTCCTGAGGCTCCCATTGCATTCTTTCGGGGCGGAGGATGCACGATGGTTGAGCTTCCCAGCGATCATCCGAGTAAACGATTGAATCATTCATTTCGGAACAGATGATTACTAGATCTAACTACTGGTAACGAGCAGGCTGCCCTATGGTTGAGTGGCAGATTGCTAGGGTAGAATTCTGCTACGCAGCCATTGAGAGGAGAAGAAAGGCAGTGCAGATCCCCTCCTCAATATTTAGTTAAACTGGCTGGCTACCATCATGATATCAGTAACGGTACCGGCAGTTCTAGCTAGGTCTTTTAGTACCGGAATGCATACGGTATGCAGATCTACAGTACAAGCACGTGATGTGCTGTATGACATACGCGGTAACAGCTGAATAAAATCCAATTACACATCCCATTACGCGGTACGGTACCGTGGCAATGTCGTAATGGGATACCGGTATATTTGTCGTACCGGTATGGGATGTGTAATGTCATAACGTCATAACCCTGATCACCTGATTTGATGACATTGTCACACCTTCCTGGTGCTAGGTAATTAATTAACTTGGTTGAAGAAGCTGTGAAGAGCAGTGAAGTAGCGGTGAAGTCTTAGTCCGGAGGGTTGCAGTCATTAAATAAAAGAATTGGAACAGCAATTGGGAATCTTGGAGTGTCATGATTCTTTTCTGGAAGAGAATAGAAAGAAGGCAAGGAAGGCAAAGAAGTGTCACAAAAGGTCACCAACAGCTGGATGAAGCACTTGGTTTCGCGCTCCTATCAAATTTTGGGAAAGCGCAAAGCAGGATCGCATCCAAAAACAAAGAAGGTTACATACATGTAGTGTGTCCTGTAGACATTTAATGTAGGTAGGTACCGGTACCGGTACGGGCAACCTTGAATAGGACCCTCGAATATTCTGCCCGAGCGTGTTGGCCAATCGAATCCCAAGGCTTACCGGTGGAAGCTCCGGTGGACTTGCGTACATGCAGTTGTTTCTTTTTTCTGAAAGAGAAGAGAAAGAAGGAAAGTGTCACCAAATGATGCTCACGAAATGAATTAACAAGACATACTTCATAATCTGAATTCTATAAAGCAGAATCCAAAAGAAGGGTGGTTGGTTAGGAATGAGAAGGGTCATATCCCGACCACCAATCAAAATGAGAGAGAATGAGATTTGGATTTGGGATGCCATCGTGCCGGCTCAGGACCCAGCAAGATTGCCGAACAGCCCTCCAATAAGAAACGCTCAAAAGCAGCTGTATTTGCAACCTTGTTTACCCAAGTGACATACGGGAACCAGGACAGTGTCCACAGACACTGAAAAGAGCCCGAGTACCGGTTAAGGCTTTCAGTCTTTGCCTGGTCGGCGCGCTGTATCTGCTACTGTCTACTAGCTACCGTAGGTACGCTGTACCAGCCGCTTCCGCACTTTTCTCAAATCTGCGCCTCCACAGCACCACCAACAATAGTCAAACCAGAGACAACAAACAAGCAATCCCTGTAACGCTCTCCTCTATCTCCTCCTGAGTCTGTTCAGTTGAGTTGTTCGAACACTCGTACTAGTATTAATAGTCTGAACCAAGACGATGACAATGACGAGGAAGCTAAAGGATCAACAAAGCGGCACGACTGCATCGGTTCGATCTAGTAGTAATAATAATAATAATGCTACGAACAATCGTTCCACGGTGAGTTCGAGCGGCTCCCACGCTCCCAGTGCAAGTCGGAAACAACGGCCAAGCAAGACGGCGCGTCGCGTGATACTGGGTCGCTTTCTGTTTGTCTCTATTCTGATTGCCGTTGCGGTGGCGCTGGGCATTGGGGCTTATTGGCTGATTGCCAGTGCAGAGAACAACTTGGCCACGACCGAGTACTACAGTCTCAGCGAACGCGCCATGAAGACGGCCCAAGAAATCACGTTACGAAAACGACTCGGGACTGTCACCATGGCCAAAATGGCAGCCAGTCTTCACCCGCACGCCCACGCCTGGCCGTTTGTCACCATTCCCGGGTACGAAGTCACCACGCAAAACCTCATCCAAACCAGCAATGGCAGGGAGATGGGGTTTTGTCCCCTTGTGCGACCTCACCAACTACAAGACTTTGAAGGCTTTGCCTACAACTACTACTACCATGCTAGACAACCAGAAGTGTTCCCCAACACCACTGCTGTAAGTCCCTTTGGAAGAGGTGTTTGGGGAGTGGGGGAAGGAGGACGATACCACGAAGTCGACGGTTCCACGGCGTGGAATTCAACCAGGCAAATCCTTGCCCCTATCTTGCATCACAACGAAGGACCCTTTCCGGCGCTCATGCTCAACCTACACTTTCAAAAGACCAGAGGAATCGTCATTGATGCCATGATGGATTGTGCTGAGCAAATGATAGCTACTACGACTACTGCTACTGCTACGACTGGTGAAAGCAACGATACGTCCACCGAGTGCGGAGCCATCACCGACATGCTTGATCTCACCAGTCAGGAGGAAGGCACGGGACCCGGGGCGCTCATCATGCAACCCATTTACGCTACCGGTACTCTCAACAGCACTAGCAATGATACGACGACTCTCCTGGTCGGACTGATTGCCAGCTCCATTGTCTGGGACGAAACACTCGTGGATGTCTTTGCATCCTCGGTCAGTGGCATTGACTGCGTGCTCAAAACACAAGACACCACATACACGTACTCCATCAACGACGGAACTGCAAAGGTCAAGGGAGAAGGAGATCTGCACAATCACGACTACAATGACTACCGTCTTTCCATTCAATTGACGCCTGATGGAACGTTCTCGCAAGCATCTCCACAGTACAAGCTTTGCATATACCCCAATGAAGAATTCTTTGAGACTTACACCACAAACAATCCATGGATTGCCTTGGCGGCTGTCATTGGAACACTCCTGCTGACATCACTCTTCTTTTTGTCTTATGACTTTTGTGTACGAAAGGACATGAACGCCAAGCAAGAACTACTCGCCGCGAAACGAAACTTTCTCAGATTCATATCGCACGAAGGTACGTCTCGTCTCGTCTCGTCTTGTGCAAAATGGAAGGAATACATGTTTGTGCTCACCACTATTTGTTTTTCTAATATATATTCATTTCCACAATCAGTGCGAACGCCCCTGAATGCCGTTTGCATGGGCCTGGGCATGCTAGAAGAAGAGCTTCGCAATACACTCGCCAATTCCAACGACGATCCAAACAACAACACCAATACCAATACCGGAATCAACAACGCAAATGCTACCACCACTGTCACCACGAACGCAACACTCGAAGAATCCACGCCTCTCTTCTCACTGGCGGCAAAAGAACCACTCCGTGATGTCGAAGCACCTCCTACTCCTCCAACAGCAACATCTACTTTAGCCGTCCCGATCCTGCCTCCTGCTTCTGCTGCGGTTATCCAACAAGAGACTCTCTCCGACTGGCTATGCTTGACACAAGACGTACTACACAGTGCACAAAACTCAGTCGATGTACTATCTGATATACTCAACTATGACAAGGTCGAAAATGGAAGTCTATCACTCGATCTCGCAAAAGTTGACATTTGGGAACTCGTATACAGAACTATCAATGAGTTTCGACTTTCGGCAACTTCCAAACAACTTCAACTTGAGTGCATATTCCTCATTGACAAGAACGATGATGTTGACGACAATTTTCAAGGACAGTACGAGTCGCCCACAGATTTGCCGACCCAGGTGGCGCAGCGTCAACGAGTCATTGGCGATTCCGTACGCATCACACAAGTCGTACGAAATCTCGTCTCCAATGCCATCAAGTTCACACCTGTAGGAGGACAGATTCGTGTACAAGCAAAATGGAATCGTAGCTGCCACCCCAACAAGAATCACCCGACAAACAACAGCAATAAAAAGAAGACAGTGCTCAGCTCGGGAGAAGAAATCCAAGTGGAACCATCCGGATACCTCGATTTGACCGTCACCGATACGGGGGCCGGCATGAACTCAGAACAGCTCGCTCTCTTATTCTCTTCCGGTACGTACAAACCTACTCTACTCTACTCTGCTTTGTCTTGCTTCGGATCACTGCAGTACTGCGTAGGATGCACCTTACACGCTTCGTTTACTCTACTTTCGCTCGCAGGTGTCCAATTCAATGTGAATGAACTTCAAAAGGGAGCTGGAAGTGGCTTGGGGCTCTTCATTGCAAAAGGAATCGTAGATTCGCACGGTGGATCCCTCGAAGCAAATTCGGAAGGAATTGGCTACGGCACAACCTTTGAACTCATCCTGCCGCTGGTTCGCATTCCGTTGCCCGGAGGCAGAGGAGACGAAATAAGCAACACTTCCAACCATGAACCAATCCAGTTGGGAAATGGTGCTCCGGTGGTGGAGACACCGCCTGCGGATCGCCCAATGACGACCAGGAGCGGCAGTGTCTCGGCCATGTCGATTTCATCCGCATCGCCAGCAGGCAAGAAACTCCTGGTCGTCGACGACGCTCCCATTAATCGCAAACTACTCATCAAGCTACTGAAACGAAAAGGACATGATTGCGAGGAAGCCTGTGATGGAAAGGAGTGCGTCGACATGATTGTGGCAGCGATGGAAGAGGGTCGACGCTACGATACCATTCTGCTTGATTACCAAATGCCCGTCATGGATGGCCCGACGGCGGCCAGCGAGATTCGCAAACTGGGGTGCGATTCCTTCATCGTGGGCATTACAGGGAACGTACTGCCAGAAGACGTCATGGCCTTCAAAGCAAAGGGTGCCAACGCTGTGCTGCCCAAACCGTTTGAAATGCCGGCTCTGGAGTCATTGTGGATGGAGTATGGGATCGAGGAATGATGATTCATCATTCGAATCATTGCTGTTGCATCATGCATTCTAGATTTTAAAAGTGTGTGTTGTACATTTAATGCGTGCGTTGTATTAGTTTTATATAGTGCGGTATGATTGTGGCTGAACTTGAGGGATGACGTGAAATCAGAGTGGAAGTCTTCAAAGTCTAGCTCTGGTCGCCCGCTGGATTTGAGGCTCCATCCGAAGATGGGATTCTTGCCGCTGGCTGATGCTTGTGGCATATTCTCTGTAACCGAGCGAGTGGAAGAAATGTTGCAGCACTCATTCATCCTTCGTTAATTAATGAGCTTCTCCAAGAAATCACACTGGCGGTGCTTCTCAAGACCGCGCATCCGAAGGCGATTTTTGCTAGCCACGTTGCAGAGAATTTCATCAGGTTGCGACGCCGATGGACCAACATCATGATGGGAATCAGATGGCCGTGGAAGATATCGTACTTTCCAAGTCTTGGGCAAGGCTAGACGGTTGGTTCATATGCGCCATCTTCCGTGCGCAGCAGACATCAAAGAGCTTCAACTGCTTTTCAAACCCGTCCGTGTCGTAAAAGCGTAGAATCTCGTAAAGTTCACAGGGGCGCAGACAGATGAGCCATTGGTTCAGTAGTGTGAGATCTTGTTTGTCTATGAAAAAGGATGCTTTTTGGAATGTCGACGGCTTGCAGTCAGGCAACACAAGGACCAGTTTCTCGTTTTTGCCATGAAGTTCGTTTTGTGCTACTGCTTTTTGGAAGAAGGTGCTGCGATCTGCCATGAACTGTAGAGATGCTGTGTATTGCTGTTGGTCTATTCCGCTTCTCACAACAATGGTGAACGCGTCGGGCTCGTGTGCTCCAAAACATCCAAGATCGACTTGATACTCTTTGAATGCCTTTGTGTTGAGGGTCAAGTAGGACTCGAATGTTTCAAGTACTACATTTGGTAGGGGCTGGTCGTCATTGTGGATGTTTGAAATCCGAGAGGCAAGTAGGACTTGCTCCACCAAGTACATGAGGGCCACACCGCCCGAGTTGCTGAATTGCACAATGGCCGAGTCGCCTCGAGGAGCATCTTGGAGGTTGGAGTTTGGTAGGATGCGGGACCACAAAGGAGACCGCAATAGCCAAGAAGCGGAATTGTCCAAAAGCCTTGGGGACCTGTTCGCGGTACACGTAAGCAATCACGTTGACAAGCGTCCAAATGAAATTGGACATGGAGTGGCAAGTGCACTCAATGACAGCCATGCTTCACTTCTCGGGGCTTGCTTGAGTTCCTCCAGTGTGGTTTCCAAAGGAAAGTCACAGAGCTCCAAGCCGCCCAGAAGTTCGCAGTCCGCGAAGCCACGAATCAAATCGTCAACTTGCCGGTAACTCATGATGAGAGAAGTGTCTAAGGGGCCGATATTTTCGAGGACAAACAGCATCATCATGAAAGTTTTCTTTGTAGTATCCGAGAACTTGAACTTGAACTCGAGATTTGCAGGGAAGCCGAGGTTCAGCAAGGTCATTTCGTCGCACTGGAGCTCCCCATCTTGGAGTTCTACGGTGACATCCCCATCCTGTTGAATGCCCGTCGGGATGTCGTAGTTAGCATACACAGGCGTGTCGAACAGTTCAATCTTGGTCATGTGAAGAAATATACGTATGGTTTGTGTCCTCGAAAGCAAAAGCTATTCAAAAGTGAAGGGACGGGAATAATGAGGAGTGAGGAGTGAGACATCAGATCAGCTCAACCAAAACCAAGCCAAAGGTTTGGCGGACACAGTTGCCAAAAGGATCTGGGTTTCAGCCTGCCAACGCGAGGAATTGGTTGTTTGCGTGTATTTAATATCATGGCAGAGTACCTGTGCCGTACAGGACTTAAAGAGTCTAGTGTGGACATAAAGGTGCATGAATCAGAGACATAAGCATGAAAGAACTTTTCAAGCATCGTCTGAACCAAACTCAAAACTGCTGGCGGCAACAGGAGACCACGAGGAACTGTGATCCGTCAGATGCTCTGCCTCAATCCCAGATATTAGGTTCGTTTTGATGAGCCTTCCCCGTCCTTTCTTTCCGAGGTTGCTGTCGTCACTACACCCAAAGCCTAAAAAGAGCGACTTTCATGTCTTTGATCACCACGCATTATCGCTCGCCCGGTTATGATTAGTGAAGTCGTCACGCAAAAAGGATGAAACTACTATTATATAGATAAATCCAAACACGAAACTATGGTATCAGAGATAGTATCGACGCATCATTGTGGACCGAATCTTGTGTGAATTGCACGCAGCTCGTATAAAATGGTCAGCTAACTCGCATTGAACCTTTGCATAACAAAATGGGATACCGTATCCCTAACACCTTTACCGTATTCCGGTACGGTAGGCATGGATCAGGTCAATAACACCAAAGCAAAGTACTGTACTGCTCTCGTCCGTGCAACAGATGAGGGCGTCATGTGTCACTTGATCAGACTACGATGTACGATGGCTAAGAATAATACCAAGGCTGAAATCTCTCGCACAAAGAATCGAATGTGATCGACGCACTGTCTCTCTAGAATGCAGAACAGGGGTTTAGAGTAGCGAGGTTACCCTAAATGCTACATGTACCACCGGTCGCGGTACGGTACCGGTACGGTTTGGCTATGTCATAATATTATGTCACAGAGAAGCAATTGTTTAGCTCTTCGCACCGATCAGAGTTGAGGCTTATGTCTTTGCACGTGCCGCCACCTAAATGTGTGCAAGCAGGACTGACAAGCAATTTCGCAACTAAAGCCTGAGACTTGGGATTCTGGAATTTAGGGCTGTGAGCCGTGGATAAGTCTACTTATTTTATTACAGTAGATCCAAAAGTAACCTAGACATTTTGTATACCCTACATGAATTGACGTTCCCTTGCAGCGCAGCGTCTGCCTCTTCTTTCTCACGAGCAGTCTCATTATTCTCGCAGCAATCAAGCCAATTGAAACTAACCCCGTGTCCTCTTATCAGTAGAAGGTAGCTACATCGTACCCAGTAACCGTTTTCTGCTTTGTTTTAAAATATCTAGCGACCATGGCATCTCGCCAAGTTCGTGCTGGCGGCGATGCCCCAATTGCGATTGATTTGGATTCTGACGAAGATGAAAGGATGCCGGTCGTAGCGGCCAGTACTACGGCTACGAGAAGCCGTCGAGGGGGCGACCCACCCAGCGATCCCCCCGAAGTAGGTGGTAGAGCTACTACCAGTAGTAGAGCTATTAATACGGAGTACCATGATCAGTTTGCTTATGAACAAGAAGAGACTTCAGTTTTGCAAATTCCCCCGCAGCCCAATGGCGGGGATTTGTGGGATGCCAACATGATTGCCTACAAGACCAGTGGAATGGGGGAAGATCCAGAAGAAATGGGGGCGCCCCCAGTTAGTCCCGCACCTGCTACGTTTTCCCAAGTGGGGGTAGTGGAACCAATGGGGGGTGTCGTCTCCCCGGGTCGTATCAATAGTACCCCTGGCAGAGCTAGTCTCAAGTCGCCCCCGCCAATGGCCACTGCTGTAGCTTCCACCACAAACGCCAGTGCGAATGCGGATGCTGCAAGAGCTAGTGCCCGCAGCAGACCCGACCCTGACGACAATCACGTACCCATTCCCGCGGCGGCCAAGAAACGACGATCCAAAATGGAAGAACACGCTGCCGGAATGGCCATGGCCACAGCGGCGGCAACACCAACACCAACACCAGTTGCCGCCGCGAACATGAACCCCCCGCCACCCGCAACTGTCAGTCCACCCAGCAGTCCCAGGGCATCCCGTGTCCCGGTTGCCTCCAGGCAAAGTGTTCCCAATGGGAAAAACCAAGCCGACTTTGTAAGGGGAGAACAATTGGGCGCCATTCCACAGAACACTCCTGCGCCTTTTCGAGTGCCGCAACCACAACCACAACCACGACAACAACCTCAAACCAGTAGTTACAGCAACCTGAATCCTTCAACTAGTAGAAGTGGGGCTGCCATGACCTCAGGAGGAGGAGGACCAGGAGATGACATGTCGTCCAAGGCACCGGATGACGCCTCGTCCAAGCAACCAGACGATGCGTCTTCCAAACCACCCGATAACTCCAGAGATTTCTTGGCCGTCGCTACATTGGTCAAAGAACCACAGGAGACCAGCACGGAAGGACAACACCAAGACACGCGCGATAGTGGCAACAGCAACAGTGATAACGGCATGATGATGAATCGACAATTCATGTTGCTCACGGGACTCATGTGTTGCTTCTTTGCCGTCGTCGTTGTCGTGGTTGTTGTGGCTCTTGTCATGGTGGGGTCGCCAGGACCGACACCTGTACCACCGACACAACCACCGGCTCCAACACAAACCGAAATGCCCATGATTCCACCAAGCGAACCGCCCGTGACCGCCGACACGGACTTACCAACCACCCAGATGCCATCTGTCACTCCAACACTGGCTCCCACAAGCAGTCCGCCAACGCAAGCCCCTACTTCTGCCGAGCCCTCGTTGTCGCCCACGGCTGATCCGTCCAGGATCCCTACCAGTGCTCCTTCAGTGGCACCATCGACTCTCCCTTCCAATGCACTCACCACTATGAACCCCACCCCGGAGCCCAGTATCGGTACAGCCGCACCCACCACGGCTCCACCAACCACACCGGCTCCCGTTCTGGTCATCACTCCACAACCCACCCCGCAGCCCATTGTTACAACTGTCGCTGCCACAACCTTGACACCCACCCAAAACTTGTTCCCCGACAATTTGCCACCCGACACACAGAGCAGATTGCAAGATCCAGCATCGCCACAATCGCGGGCTTTGGATTTCGTAGTTGCCTATCCGGGATACAGAAACATGCCCGAATGGCGAAAGCAGCAATTGTTTGCATTGGTTTCATTCTATTTTTCCTTTGATGGAGAAAGGTGGAGGTTTGGGTCGGAAGAGAACTGGCTCAGTTCCGCATCGGAATGTATGTATTGGTTAACCACAATACGTTTGCATATTTATTTGGGGCCATGGCTATTCTCACACTCTCAATCTGTCCTCTCTTTGTCACGACACGCAGGTACTTGGGGAGAACAAGGCTCCAGGGCCACACAATGCAATGAGCTGGGTCAAGTCACCTACATGGCCTTAGCGTACCAGGATGAAACGATTTTTGGAACGACTCCTCCAGAGATGCAGCTCTTGTCCTCACTGGAAGGATTCGAAATGCTCGGCAATCATTGGTACGCTGATGTCACACAAATATTGCCTTCTGAAATGGCCCAAATCAGCAGCTTGGTGGACGTACGTCTCATGTCCAGCGACATCACTGGTTCTCTGCCGTCTAGTCTCGGGGAGTTTCAGTACTTGACCAATCTCAATTTGCGGACCAATTTGTTCTCGGGAACAATTCCTTCAGAGCTTGGTCTCCTTACGAACCTGAAGTTCCTTTCCATGTACGGGAATTATCTGACTGGTGGGTGTTTATCTTTCGCATTGTTTTGATTCGGTTTTTCTATTTGAATGTGATAGCTCGCTTATCCCGATCGCTCTTCTCTTCCTTCCCCATCCAGGCACAATACCAACAGAGCTCGCCTTGATTTCTTCCTTGGAATTCCTCTCCTTATACGCCAACAATCTCGAGGGAACCCTGCCGACAGCACTATGCATGCTGCCGCTACTGGGATCCATTAGGATAGACTGCAACTTCAAGGTGGTTTGTCCCCCGGAATGCAACAATTGTGTTTGCGAAGATGAGCAGGGAGAGACATTGCGACCAAGGCCCGCGGGTGGCGCTGTTTCCGCAACCGCTGCACCTGCCCCAGTCACAACAATTGCACCAGCACCAGCCACACCAGCACCATCACCCACAGACCCCTTCATTGATGAGGACAGCTTTGATCCATCGGTGGATGACCCAGAATGGCCTGGCCTATACCCGACTCCAGCCAACGCTGTCAACACTGTGACCATCAACGTTCGCACTGACAGGTTCCCGCAAGAAATGTCATGGGAATGGAGCAAGATGACAGCCAGTCCGGACACATATGCGGTGGTTGACTCGGGCGGTAATCTGCTGCTGGAAGAGACTGTTTACTCCATCGAACAGGCAGTTGATAGTGATTCCGTGTATCGTTTGACTATAAGCGATAGTTTATCGGATGGGACCTGCTGTTTGTATGGGTTGGGGTGGTTCACCATCACCAACGCCACCACGTCTGCACAAAATGCAGATGGCACGGTTGTTTGGTCCGCCATTGGAGACTTTGACGGCGAGTTGCTTGCTCATATCTATGTTGACCCACAAGGACGTGCCAGCTTGTTGGAATACCAGTTGGTCATCCCGAGCCTCGGTGGGGCATCCTCTCCCGGAACAGCGAATCCATCAGAACTGACACCATTCCCGACTTCAAGCCCTGCTTCAGGCTTCATCCTCGGTCTCCCGGCTTTCAGCGTTGCAGCCATCGAGAGTAACCCCGCATCTCCACAGTCTCTTGCGTACCAATGGCTGGAACAACATCCGGATTTGTCAACCATGCCGGAATACCGGAAAAAGCAGCTTTTTGCAATGGCTACGTTCTACTATTCCTTTAATGGTGGAGCCTGGACGCTATTTGAAAGAGAAAATTGGTTGAGCTACAGCGTCAATGAATGCCGGTGGGGTGACACTGGGATTCAAGATGCAGTCACTTGCGACAGCAGCGGAAGCCTGACGGAGCTTGCTATTGAATTTTCGGCTGGCTTCAACGGCGCGGCAACGCCTCCAGAGATGGCTCTGCTGACCTCACTGGAATCGTTGAGGTTGGAGGACTTGGAGGACCTGATGGCTGATTTTTCGGATCTAGTGCCCACACAGCTTGCCCATTTGCCTTTGCACACGCTCTTCATCTATGAGACGGCAGTGTTTGGTTCAATTCCGACCAAACTTGCCCTCCTCACGTCGTTGAGCAATTTGAATTTGAGGGGGAATGATTTGACGGGCCCCCTACCCACTGGTGGGCTATTGTTTTGGCGTGGATGTGATGGCTTCGTCTTACCGATGCTTGTGCACTCACATTGCTTTTCTTGCTTTGTCGTCCTGCAGAATTGGGCCTACTCACGAACCTACAGTTTGTTACCTTATACGACAACGCTGCCATCACTGGAACTGTTCCGAGTGAACTAGGTCGGCTCACGGCGCTGCAGTCCGTTTTGATTGACAGAACCCAAATCGGAGGCTCCATTCCAGAAGAAGTTTGCTCGTTGCCGAACCTGCAAACCATCCGTGTCGATTGTACCCAAGTTGTGGACTGTCCTTCGTATTGTGCTCCCTGCTCGTGCTATGAGCAAACGTGACGAGCTCAATGACTCGCTCTCATACACGTAGACTTCATGGTGATAGTAAAACTCTGACTCTTATTAATACTGGTATGGGAGCCTACATGTCTATTTGTTTTGAGGGCCGGGCCGCCTGCTGTTTGGCGATGGTCTCGGTAACAATTCCGGGTTGTCGCCAGTCCGGAATCTCAAGGCGCTTTCGGATTATTGGATTTTGTAGAAGGACCGAAGTTGGTCTATGCAGAGGGACTTGCTATTGAATCACACAGAGACCTTGCTCTGTCGATGAACAGTCAGTTGATAGTGCATCAAGGTGCGACCGGAGTCCTTGCATGGCGGGCATGGGGTCCTTCCGGTGGAATATGTGTGTTTCCGTTTCTTGGCTTTCACGGCTGTTCCGTCTTTGGGTGCAACACGACGGGCAACAGGTGATCCGAGTGAAATGTTGGTGGGGAGTAGTGGTCCAGTGGTTCCAGGAGCGATTGCCAGTCTACGAAGAGGTTTCGTTCGTTTGCTTTGCATGCGTTACTGGAGTCGAGTCTCAGGTTGTGCGAGGGGAGCTACCATGGAATCCTTTTTGCGGATGCAACCCGTTTTTGGATTGAATGAATCATTCATCCATTTCATTGCTTTCACTGGTATTCATATCTTCATGTCTCCTTCGAAGAATGGAAAAGTAGTTGGTGTCATTCCCAGGATTCCTTGTTGGGAATTAGCAGCAGCAGCCCCCGTGGAGGAAGATCGGCGTCGCGGCAAGTTAGATGTTCCCACAGAGAAGTCCAGGGAGCCTCGGCGGATCAAGACTTTGCTTGATTGTACAACATTCTCAGTGCTGTGGGTTTCGCTGTTGGAGCCCATTGTGGTGGTCTGATGATACTCAATGGAGACCCTGCGAGGCATTCGAAAGGACGAGGCGTGCTCTTGACGACGAAAGGACGCCCTGGCCGTCTTGCTCCCAATACTGTTGGACCGGGATAGTTTCCCGAAATCCAAGGATATAGATTTGGGCTGATAGGAGTGACCTGGACTGTTGCTGGGAGTCGCTTGTGGCGTGCTGCCGTCGCCGTATTCCAGGGAGACACGGCGGGGCATTCTCTGTGTGGTATTTTGAATGAATAGTTGCCGGGGACATCCCAGATCTTGCATTGTCTGGGAGTATGATTCGCTGGCTTCAGAGAGTGAATACCTTCGTTTGATCATGACCGGAAGGTTGGGCCGAGATGATTGTGATTGAGTCGGAGCGGAAGAATATCTTCTTTCTTCGTCAAATGGAACTGGTTTGGGAATGTGTACAGGTGCCATTCCACGGCTGTGCACAAGCCTGCTACTAGTAGGGCTTCTGTCATTGGTCTGGTCTATGTTGTGCGGCGTGCTTCTCGTGCTCCTGGATCTGCCAGTACCGGTACCCGCATTTGCGCTTGAATATGGAAAAGAAGCAAATCTGCTGGCCGCTTGTTCGTAGCCTAGCTGATCAGGGGCAGACACACAGCTTTCTTCATACTTGCATTTGGGATTCAAGTGGTCCTTGGTGCTTTCGTCCGCCACCCTACCATTGCCAGTGCCAGTGCCAGTGCCAGTATCTCTGCTGCTGGTCCCTGACGTTGAAAGCCTGGATTCAGAAGAAAAAACTCCACTCAAGCCCTCCAAGCTGATCTCACTGACATCATCATCACCATCGTCACCATCTGAGTCATTGGCTGAATCAACTTGCACTTGTTTCCGAGTTGCCTTGTTTTGGTATCTATGCACGTGTACACAGCTGATCTCGAACCCAACCAGCTCCCAATTATCCTGAACCTGCAAATTTCGAGTCTCTAGTGATTGCGGTTGTCTTCTTGTGCTACCTGTTGTGGCCATCTTTCTTTTGAAGTGATGCATCCTATCAGAGGTTTCTTCAGCTGCTTGTTGTGTGGGATCATTCGGCTATCAAGCTAGAGCAAAGAGCTTTTTGTGAAGGCAAAGAGCTAAGCAAACTAACTGTGGAATTGGGTGATGGCACGCAACTCTTACCCGTACCACAAAAATGTCTTTAGGGACAATAAGTTCTCCCAAAAAGAACTGCAGAAATGTACAGTACAAACATTAGTACATCTTTCGGGTTTGGGAAGGTGATGACTATGCCTGCAGACACAAGCTTTCCGAGAAGAGCCATTTTGTTAAGGCGTGTGTTTCACTGGTACATTGAATGCATTAGAAGCAAGAATCAAAGCGGAAAGGAGCAATTAATGACTGGTGATGTTGCAAGCTGTAGCCACTTTTTAGTATGCCAGTATGCCAGTGGCATCTTCTCCTTGAGGTCCTTGGATGTTTTGGTGAAAACTGAATTCAACACCGCACAATCTCGCTGCAATTGGTTAATTTACCTCTTGCTTGGATCAATCAGGTACTAAAGGTACTTTAAGGCAACTTCCTCCTCTCACTGAAACCTACTCGTCTCTAGCTGGATTCTCTTGCGGACTGCTAAGATACTGTATTGCAATAGTTTCATAGGGGCGGCAAACGAAAGAGAAATAGTCTACTAGTACTGCTCGGCTCGTGGCTGGTTCTGTGTGGCCTAATAAGTAGAAAGTTAGAACTTGCACTACTCGCCCATCGTGATGCCTTACCCAGTGAGAAAGGCGCGCTACAGGCATGTTCTTGAGGAGGCCCTGGGTGCACGAGTGGGCCCCCCTTGTGGAGTCCAAGAGCACGGATCATCCTCTTGGGCAGCAAGGGTCAGGGTGCTCCGAAACAATCTTCTCTGAGCACTTTCAGTTTAGTTTAGCCTTCTCAGGAAGGGCTATATATGACAGGGCTTGTTTTATTGTCCTACTATTTAGGCCGCTGCATACAGTACCGGTGAGCAAAACATGGCCGCCAGCTATCATTTTTCTAGTTATGTGGCCTCATTGGAGTCACATGTACAATGTATGTTTAGTGACCCAGGAACGGTCTAAAGGGGGTGGCGGCGGGGTGAAGAGTGGAGAAAATAATGTGGCATGGGTGAAGGACCAGTAAGCTCACCCAACGTACTCGTACAGATAGAGACTTAACCTGATGCGTTTTGATAAAGCTTTTGTCTAAGTAATGCCTCTTACGATGAATAACATTCTTCGCCAACATCCCTCACTCTGTAAGCGAGATCAACGCTTACAGCCTACCGTTAGGAGAAGTGATCCACAAGGTTCCAGCGTCTTCTTGACGCTTGACGCAATTATTGCGGCCGGATCAAGCATCAAGCATCGAAGTCCCAGTCTCATACACTACCGGTACCTCATCACTCAAGCGCAGTAACTGTTGCCCAATACCAAGACGCCTGGGCTAGATACTAGCTAGATAGATAGCTATCTATTATGTGGTGCTCATCACTGTTCCTAGTTACAGCCTGCCTTTCGGTTGTACCATGGACAACGACCACGGCTTATGAGTATGAGAACAACTGTGTTCACTGCCCCGGCTACATTGAGGGTTCCGCCCAGTACAAGGAAGCGGTTATCATGGGCAAGACTGTAGGAACAGAATATGATCATTCAGGCTTGCCTCCATTCAAAACCCTCTGTGAATCGGTGGCTCTTTTGGATGGAGTTGACTTTAACAACATCTTTGATCGATTTTCCGATGAACGACCTGCCGCATTCACACGGTAAGAAAATTCAAGTTCACGGCCTGATTCTGCACTTACCGGTAGCAGCATGCTCTAATATGTCATTCATTCATTCATTTATGTATTTAGTTTCTTCCACTTCCATGGCATTGTGGCCAATGTCAAGTTTGAATCGGCGGGCAATCATGGACTCACTGGTATCTTTCAAGGAGCCGAGCATGGAGTACTCAGATTCTCTCCATTGGTCCCTTTTCTAAGGGAGCTGTATCTGGTCAATCACTTTCTTGGGACTTATTTCTTCTCTTTTGGTATCAAGTTCTTTCGGGATGGTATCCATTCAGGAAACATAAACACTGGTGAATCTGTCAAAGGCTTTAGCAGCAGACCAGAACGACAGTTCTATGATCCACCAAATCACAACATTTGTAAGCTCGCTCCTCAGACCACCAGGAAGTTAAATGGTTGTCATGTCATGGAAAGACTCTGTACTAACTAACTTTATTTCCTCTTTGTTGCTATGTGAAAAAGTTTCAAGGTATGATCCATCAGTTTTGGTTTCGACTTGTCTGCTCGCAACGTAACCTATCTCACTGTGTCTTCATGTGCATCCAGACCGGTGGACAACATGAGTGGCCTTGGTGATGCATTTGTACCATGTAAGTAAACGGGGGTGAATCCTCTTTGCTTCCCATCTATTTCTATTTGGCCAGGATATCCATGCTGACCTACCGGTATGTTGCTTGCACAGTATTTGGTGAATTTGAAAAGTTTGCTGGTGTCCTATCCCCTGTGGATGCAGCAGCTTACGACCAGTTTGGGAATGAGGCAAACCCAATCGTGGCACCAGTATACACACATTTCCGGCCAAATCCAGAGTATCTAGAACGGTTTGGCGATGGAAGCTTGGATTTCCGCCAATGGGCTACCCGCGAAGATGCTGTCAAACCAGGAGAAGTCATCTACTCTGTACACACCACTGTCATGAAAGATACACGAGAACCATCTCTCTGTGTCGATGATGAGGGAGTCCCATTGGGGTATCAAGAAGATGTCAACATATACTGTCCAGAGCAGGAAGTCATCCTGATCGGGAATGTTGTTGCCAAATCTCGCTTTTATGCTTCACAGTGGCCCGATGACTGGCTATTCTTTCAGCACCATCGCATGTGCCCCAAGGATCAAAGCGTATGCACTGTTGATAATGACCCAACAACAAACCTACCCTACGGTCCAGATCTGCTGGGACTTGGGAATCCTGACACAACCTATCCCTATCAGAATGCAGAGTTTTGCAGATCAACAGATGACAAAAGTGGCCAGATTTCAAACATACCACCAGAATGCCCCTTTGGGTCAATCTTTGTCAAATCAGACTGCTATGAAGGCCAACCAGGTGAGCATGGTTGCACTCCACTGGATCACCTGATGTGGGTCCATCGATCGTTACCTTTCTGGATTGCTTGTGCAGCTGACATTTGTTTATTGACTTCTTTCCTCTTTGAACAAAGAACGTGTGGAAGCTGTGCAGAATCAAACTTGTACCATGATGGAAAAGATTGCCGTGTTCATACTGACAACAAGGCCAGACGCGGATCTCTCTTTACCAGCATGTGACTTTGGATTCACTGCACTCAACACTTTCCTCACAGTCTTCCTCACATACTCCTCCCCTGCAATACGAAGCTTGAATGCAGTCTTTCCACCTGGCAAGCCTGTCATTGATTTTCTCATTGGATTGCTTCCCTTTGGCGGTCAGTAGCTAGCAGCATCCAAAAGATATGGATTTAGATTACTCGCGTGCAAAAGTGTGCTATGTTGAATAATAATTCAGGTTGGCGCTACCCTGCTACCCTTTATGACCAGGACAAAGTAGGATGATTGCTTTTTTGTTCAGAAAACTAGCGTTTTTTTTAGGTAGGGGCATTGGTTGTCTCGTTGGGCGAGCTATTACGGATTCTCCGCCCCGGTTCATGACAGCGATCTGGACTCTACCTGCCCTGGCAGCCAATCCCGACTCAAGCCAGCTGGCCTTTTGGTGGTGATCATCCCGGCATTGAAGACGCAGCTGGCAGATAATCATGGGGTCAATGCAAGAGTCTGTTTCTCTGCTGGCTCTTCACCTCCTGTCACAACATCATGCAATCCACAACCACTCTCAACCAAGCTGTCCACCGAAGATTGCAGGCCCCATCCAACCTTTTCCGTCCCTTGAGCCGAGTCTGGTTGCAGTGGAGTGGAGACCATGTTCCTTTCAGTGCCGTACCGTGCCGATTGCAATATGAGAACACTGTATTTTTTGTCTCACCGAGGCTTCTATCTCATCTCAAGTCCGCCGCGGTACGTTTCCATTCTAGTATTGCTGCCAACACCTAGCCAGCGCTCCAACCAATCTACAAGTATGCATCCAAGTGTCATTGCTTTCTCTGCAGGTCGGCTCTGTCACGACACGAAGAAGCTGAGCGGTTCGGCGTTTGAGGCAAGTTGTCAAATATGGCTACTATCGAAGTACATGGCAACCGGTGGCCATCTGACAAAGCGGATGACTGTCACTCAGGTTCTGCAAAAAGACTCGATGCATCTAACCATTTAGGGTGTGGTGTTGAAGTTTTCATGTTTCCAACTCCCGCGGGGGTCCTCTTCGTGGCTTTCCCAACAATTCATTTGCCACCAAACCACAACGAAACCATCACTCATAAAAAGAGATTGACAAAAGAGAGAAAACGAGAAACACATTTTCCATTTTGTTGGGACTTGACCATGACGGAGTCAACCAACGAAACCGCCGCTGTTGGTGCTGTAGAGAAGCAAGACGACAAGACGGAACAAGGCGCCACCAAGACACCCAAGTATGCAGCAATTTGGATCTGTCCCATCAGCCTTGAATTGCCTATGGATCCTGTTACGGCTATGGATGGGCATATCTATGATCGTGAATGCATTGAGGCCCACATTAAGAAGAATAGCGGCAATCTCACGTCTCCCATGACTCGTGAAAAGATGCGCCCCATGCTCATTCCAGCCCTTCATCTCCACACCATTGAAGCTGCCATCGACAAGGGTGACCTTCCTGAAGATCTGGTCAAAGTCTGGAAGGAAAAGAAGAAAACGCTACAACAGAAAAAGATGGAAGCACTCTTGAAGAAAGCCGACGATGGAGATGTCAAGGCCATGTATCATGTAGGAAGCAACTATGAACAAGGAAACGAAGGTTTCAAGCAAGATTCCAAGTTGGCCTTTCCGTACTTCAAGAAAGCAGCTGAGGCTGGGTATGTGCTCTCAACAGCAGCATTGGGTAACTACTATCTGAACGGCATAGGTGTGGAGCAGTGCCTTTACTTGGGCATCTTTTTTCTAACCATGGCCACAACCCAAGGATCAGACTGGGCAGCATACCTCTTGGGATCGGCATTTGCAAAAGGTTCCAATGGGTTGAACGTAGACGAGTCATTGGCCATCCTTTTGCTGAAGAAGTCTCTTGGTGTCTGCCGTCTCAAAAATTTGAATGAAACTCAGAAGACTGATGCTCGCGGCCTCCTGAACACGCTCGAAGCCAACAGCACGCCCTAGATTGACATCCTCTGAAACCCATCCTCACCATAGTCCGCTCTAACCCGTAGTATCTTCAAGGTTTCCAGTTTGGTGAGTTATGTTGCCATAGCCAGCCCAGCTGGAGGAAAGTACCGCATGCAGTAATCAGTCCGATGGTGATTCCGATGATGCTGAATGGAAAACTAATATAACATTTGCAAACGTTGCAACGGCGCTCCAAACGCGTGCCAGTCTAGTTGTAGATACGAGCCATAGCGATTCGATTCCTGACACCATCCCCAGCTAGCTCTCTCGGGAGGCACTGGACAAATCAGATCTGTCAAATGATCCTCTCCCCGACTCCTCGGAGATCTCGAGGGAAGAAACGACAACAAGCTAGACCGTACCATGGTTAGATACAGTACGAGCCGAATCTTTAATCACTTCGCATCGAACCACCAGGACGAGAACTACATCCAAAGACTAGCTCCGCTGACATCGAGGAAGCAAGAAGATCTGCCGACCGAGGACTCGGTTTCGTGAACGCGTCTAGACATTAAGGCTTTGGAAGTGTCAATTGTGAGCTAATTACTTTTTGGAACTTTGCTGCAACAGGGATGTGGACTCCGACGTAGCTCTCTTTACTTCTCACAGAGCACGGACGCTCAAGATTTTAAGGGGCCGAGTGACTGGCACTTCCTATCGTTAGCAACCGTGGAGAACGCCAACCCGCCCACGAAGACCATGAACACAATGACCGCATACGTGCTACTAGACTAGTACTGTCGGACTTGGCTGGGCTGAGCTTGACGACGTGCGGTACCCAATGAGCAGGTCGTTGCTCGCTCTCAGGGCCCAAGGAATGAACCAAATGCGTGCTCCCAAGCGAAATAAATGATCTCGCACGAGCCACGTCCCATGACAGAAGGCTGCTCGATTTCAGTTCTTTTCGAAAATCTCTTTGCAGAGACAGATCGAATCGAATCGAAAGGAGGCAACTGCTGTCAGCCGAAATCTCTCTCGAGTACCGTAGGATGCACCACCCCTGCCTGGCGTTCGAATCGTCTAGTAGTCTACATCATGCACAGATAGTGCGCTGCTGTGGACGCCAGCAATGATACTGCCATGACGGCTAACCCCCCTCGTTGTCGTCCACTGGCGTTGGAACGAGCCGTAGCCTCTGCTGTGAATACAAAAAAAGGATTCGTCGGATCGTCTTCATGTCCCCCCTCTGGATGCGACTGTGGTGATGGTAGCTTGGTGGGTGCCACGTCCATTTCCATTTCCGGTTGCAGCGTCTCGGTCTCTTGTTGTTGTTCGGTCTCTTGTTTTTGAAACCGATCAAACCATCCTAGCTGTGGAATCATTCCACTAATGCCATGGTCCGGATCATCGGGGACATTGAACTGGTTCTCGGCAAGGTCCTCCAGTTCCGGATTGTCATTATGATTGTCGCGTTCTTTGGTTGGCGTCGCAAAGACTTGCGGCGCATTGCCACTACGAGTCCCCATATCCACTTTGACTCGCACATTGAATGATCCGTCGGCTGGTGGCTCGAGTACCTCAATGATAATTCCCGTTTGTTGTACGGATCCGTATTGGTAGGTATCCGTATTGGGCCATGTCTGCCCATCGACGTTGGGCGTCAACTTCATGCCCGTTTCCCAAATATCCCCTTCATCCCCAATATTCATGTTCTTTTCCAGATCGTAGTTGCGATCGGCTTGAATGACCGAGACTCGATAGTGTTCCCCCGACTCTGGCCAATTTCCCGTCCTGCCAGGATACCCGACAAACTTTTGATCATTGGCGGCCTCATCAACATGAAACATGACGAGGCCTGCTTTCCAAAAGTCAATATCGAAACTGATGCGCTGTCTGTTTTCTAGCAAAATGTACTCTGGTTGTGAGGGATCAAAGTCACTGAGTATGATTTTGTAGCAAATTGGCGCGATGGCAGCCGGTTGCAGCGTGTATTCTCCCGATGCCGTAATGGTCTCGCAGGTGATCCATCCAATGGTTTCCTTGGCCCACGACGATAGATGGACGGGTATGTATCCATCATTGTCTAGCCCGTAGGGATAACTCATGATATCAAAGGTCCCAAGTCCTCTTCCAACAAAGTTGATATCGTATAGATCAATGAGAAAGAAGGTATGAAGGTACTCGTGTGTCATAACTCCCATTTTGGCTGGATTTGAGTCGCAGGTGAGATCCAATGCAGATGCAATCATGTATCCTCGTGTTTTGTACTTTGGGTTGGTGGGTGATACCCATGCTTTGGAATTGGAGAATGCGTGACTCCAGATGCGTTCCATGTCGGCTCTTCCATTGTTGCAGTCCGTACCACCCTCTTCAGCGCCATAGGAACTGGTCAATACAATGACATTGTCGATAAAGCCATCCCCATCGGCATCGTAGAGTGACCAGTCTCCCTCCAATGCTTTGTCCATACTCTCCAAGAGTGGATGAAATGAGTTTTGGAACTTTGCGACTCGCCCGGCTTTTCCGTAACTGTAGTGTAGTTCGGTGTTGTCCGTGACTTGCCAGTCTTGGACGTCGAAAAAGGCATCGTACTGATTGTAGGAGTTTTCTTGAATCCATTTTTTGATTCTTAGGTTCCATAAGATCTGGTACTCGTATTTGGGCGGGAGTGGTCGATTGGCAGCGGCATGGTCGGAGAATACCATGAGGAAGAGCGGCACCACAAAGGTTCCCACGGACGGGTTGAACACTTGGCTGCTGCGGTCACTGCGTAAGGCTCTAGCCCGGTCCCTATAGTGTTGCTCCTTGGTAGTGTTGAACTCTTTGAGGAGTTGGTCTAGTTCTTCTAGCTCTTCTTGCAGGGTTGGTTGATGGGCGGGACCTCTCCCGTAGGCTTGCGTAAAGGCGCCTAGTAGGTCTTGGAATTCTGTCATGTCTTGATTAGGGTTAGGGTTAGGGATAGAGTTTGGGGTTTCAGAGGTTTGTGATCGAAGTCGCCGTTGTTTTCTTCTTTGTCTTTGGTGATAAAGCCGCCGTTGTATATTCTGGTGGCTCTTGGCATGATCTCTCAGCGACTCGTCTGCGTCTTGGCATTCTTGCTCCGTTAGAAATCTACACATTTCCTCGCTCAGTAGAGACGGCGTATAATCGTACGTAAGGTTCAAACGACGACGGTACTCTCCCACGGGCTCAAAGCTAACGGCCAAGTCACTGCCAGGACGAGGAGGGACAAAGCCGTTGCAGACATACGCCAATAACAATAGTGATAGTAGTAGTAGACATACTCGTATGTATATGCTCTTGCTCATGGTGATAGTAGTAGTATTGGTTGTTGCTCTATAATTGAGACTCAATTGTTGTGGTTGGAAGTTGAAAGAGCAATGGAGGCAATTTTTGTGCTTTATCTTTCTCGGCCAAATTTTGCTTAGCAGCTTTACACGATCACACACGTTTAGCTTTCCAAGCGCAAGTAGGAAGACAGATGTAAGATAAACATGAGATTTAAAGAGAACTTGTCGATGGAATTGACTTGGTGTTCCTTTTTTTGGTCACAAAGTCACACTGACATTAATCATTAATTAGAACTTGCTGCCACCTCAGACTATCGTCATTGAGATTTAGAAGATCATGAGCTGATCATGGATCGTCTTCTTCTGTAGACTTATTTATCTTGTGTCTACGAGTCTTACGACAGTCACTTGAATGTACCGGTGGTACCAGGTACCTATACTTGTACATCGTGAACGATACTGTACACTTTACATCGCTGTACGTACAAGTGTACAAGCACATCATGTAAATGTATGCATGAACGCTGTTCGCTTCCGCTTCATCACCAGATGGTTGCCGGTACGGTAAGGTGTAGCTGTGTGATGATAGCCATTCAGCGTGTCACTACTAGCTAGTACACGTACCGGTTGCTCTCTATCGGATTTCTAGCTACAGCCAGCCAAGGAAATTGAAGTTTAGAAGTTTCTTTTGAGTGGTTTATTTCCTCGTGCAGCCAAGCACTCATGTACATACATACAGCAACACTCGACTCGCTCACGAGTCCAGGACATGCATGCATCAACCCAGCACAACTCAAGCCAGAACACCAATTGAGATGAGTCGAGTGACGAGTCGAGGGATTACATTTATTTGTGCGTGCGTGCAGCCAACCATGCCTTCCAAGTCCTCGCAGCGTGCTTGTGTTGCATGCACTGTATGCAAGCAATGGGTTCGACTCTATTTCCATGTACAAGCATCCACAACAACAAAATAAACTTCATGGCCACAGCATTTTTCTGTGATTCCTTTCATTGGAGTTCATAGTAAGGTACTTTTATGAGCAGAAAGGAGCAGAGCACCTAGCTAGTAGGCAAACTGAGCGGGTGCGTTGAAATCCTTCCCGAGCCAGGACTGACCGAACCAGCCAAGAGCACATGGTTGTTTCACCAGCCAACGACTGCCCGGCTCTGTACAGTTTGCAAGCAACTTCAAAAGTCTGGTTGTGCGTGTGGACCTCCCACATTTCTATAGATGGTGCATCATTTGACGCAATGGTACCATACCAATGGCTGCCAACTTTATTCTGGCTGGGCTGTGATGTCATAATCATAGGCAACTCTGCCCAGATTGGATGGCCAATGTGTACATGTACATGTACATGTACATGTCAAGCATGAAGTATGCTTACTTTCGCAGCTCCAGAAGGGCCAACCTTGGTGTGGCCACGGAGAATGGCAAAGAGAAGATGCGTACCGGTACATTAGTTAGACGAGCACACTACCAGGTAGCTAGCTAGTACAGTACTCAATTGCCGGCAAAAAGGCTTGTACCGTACATGTACCAGTAGATCTACCAGGAGTCTCGGCCAACGCAAGAGAGCTTGCCCTGGTTTTGACTGCCATACTGGCTAATTTCCTTGCTTCGTTGATAGCGGTGGCCAGAGGTAGTACCAGTAGACTCGTACCGGTGGGAGCTCCAGTGTCCAGTGGTAGCGGTTCCTGCTAAAAATTTAATAAATAAAATAATGTTTCATTGTGACTTCAACAGATCTGCACCAATAAGTCTTCTTGCTCCAGTGTGCAGTAAGTGGTTGTTCTTTCAACTTCAAGCAAGATGTTTATTACTGTCTAAGTACTGTACATGGTACCGGTGGTATGTAATACGTAAAACAGCGAAAACAGCATGCAGGTTTCCGTAGTATACGCAGTACGTACTGAGTACAAGACTTACTGTAGTGTAATAGTACCTTGCAAAATCTGTTGGTGGTTGGTGGAACTGAGAGAGTCATCGTGAGTCTTGGTTTCCAAATGAAATCGCTTCACTGGAACATAATAAGAACCGATGCAAGGCAATGTTGGAGCATGAAAACGAAGATGTGGATCTCAGTATCTCAGTAAAGGCTTACCCTGGCTGAAGCAGTTGGTGGTTTGCATAACCGTCATATTGCACCCCTACTTTTTGGTTCGTTTTAGGTGAAACATACATGTTCCGTCAAAGCTTCTTTTGCCCCCATTCCACCTCGTGGTTGGACATTGGGTGTTTGTGTGCTGACCAGTTTCAAGGAATGTTTCAGCGAAACCCTTTTGAACGGAAGGTTAAGTATGTTGGTTCGGAAGGTTAAGTATTGAAGACGCATGAAAGCCTTCTGGGGCACAAACTATCATCCGGACTGTAGTTGAGGCCGTGGCCTTGATGGCCGCAGGTGGAAGAGCTAGAAGTCACTGAAACATTCAAAAAGAAGTCAGCGAAGGGCGACTAAAACCAGAGCGCCAACCAGCACAGCAAAGCATACCGTAGCAAAGAGCGAACGTTGTGCTGTCCGCTATGATAAGCTCACAAATTGCTCAAGAAGCCAGACAAGGACTTCTGTGTCAGAACCACGGCACCTCGTTCCAAAAAAAGTACAGGTACAGGTAGTAACATACAGACCATGGCGACTGCCCGTACAAGTACTAGTACTAGTAGTGGACCCAGAGCGCCCGGCATGAGCAACGGTATTCCTTCCACCATTGAGTTCAGCAACGGCTGCGACACTAGTAGTAGTAGAGAGGTAGCTGCCATGGTGAGCAATCGCAACAGCAACATTCCTAGAGAGGTGGGAGAGTCGTACTGCAGTGAACGGTGGGGATTGTGCCTTCGACAGACCACTGATGAAAAAGTCGTCATTTCCGGGTTCTCCTCTCCCGAATGTTTGGCATCCAGAGATATCAATCTGGCGGTAGGACGCATTATTCTCAAGATCGGGTCGAACTCCGCCAAGGGAAAGGGAGTCCAAGCTATTGTACAAGAACTAGAAGATAGTCCACTGGGAACCAAGCTAAAGCTCGCCTCTCGCTATGGATCCATATGGAAGACCACCCTGGGATCTAGCATGGACAATGACCAGCAAGACGGTGCTGTCCAGAATGCTACTACTACTTCGACAGGGAGCAGCAGATTCAGTTTCACCAGTAGGTTTTCCACCAAGAATGCAAAAACAGAGACAGGCACGAGTAGGACAACCAGAAATGCATCCACAAGTCTATTCAAGGCATTAGTGGCGCCCTTTCACACCACCAACAGTGCCACGGCTCCAAGCAGATGATGAGAGCACATGAATACCACATGTACTAGCTACGGTAGCTAGTACGGTGGCTAGTATCTCATAGTCTAGATACCTCTTTTTTCTTTTGGACTTCACTCTACTAGCTAGTGATGCTCTAGCTAGCTACGGCAGCTCAAACTCAAACAGGTGCCGTGCGCCGCAATGGTTTCCTTTCGTGTTTTGGTCTTTCGTGGCTGGGGAGAGCCTCGAAGCTTTGTTTTACAAGAAGCTCTTGGTTGCAGCCACTCGCTCGTACGGTACCGTACTGATGATGGGGGGGCTGCCAGCTAGCCTAGTAGCTCTACTAATACCGGTAGCGAGACAGCAAGTCGGAGACGAATACGAATACGAATACGCATAGCCCGTCTCCTGGTCAATGCATGCATTTTTCATGCATCAAACGAGAGACAGGAAGACCTAGGCGGAAATTTCAGAACACATGGCCGCAGCAACAAGCAAGCAAATCGGCTCCTTCTTCACCATGACTGGCAGGGCAGCCTGGCTGGAGGTCCCTGCAAAGAGATTCCTGGTTCCTGCACCCGAGCGTACCGGTATATTTGCGCCTTCCTTGCATTGCTCCTTCCTTGCATGGCGTACTCAGTAGTGCGCGTGGAGAGAAATTGATCCTTGGGTCTTCTGGGCGGAGCCTTTGTCGCTCCGACAGCCATGCATCATTGCGCTGTCTGGCTGGGCTGGCCCTGCCTGGAGCGCGGAGAAGAGAAAGCAAGGCTTTGGAATTGTCACTTAAAAAAATTGAAGGCACCACTCTCGATTATTAATAGCTGCGGCGCTACAGTAGTTCTCTGAATCAGGTAGGCTGAGTGTGTCATCTTGACATACATGTCTTCGGGGCGGTTTCGTGAAAGTTTTATCCCAGACACAGTTGAATGCGGAGACAGCACAGACCAACCATTACCGGTACTCAGATTTTAGAAAACGGGAATATTCTCTAGATACAGCGATACCGCACCACAGACTTGAAGAAAACTTCCAGTATTGACACCTCAAAACTGACACCAAGAAAATGGTTTGCGCCTGAAGCTGCAAAAGACAGTGATCACCATCTTTTCATTAAAAAATACATGTACTTGATCCAAGCCAATAAAGAGTCCTGAGCAAGTTGGACAAGAAAGGACCAAGTGCACTGGGTGTATCCCAATACTGGCCTGTTTGATCTTATATTACACTACTAGTAGAACATGCTTATTATAGAGGTTTGAGTGCACTGTAGTTTTGCGGAAAGCTCTCAACCCAGACACAGTCGAAGCGGCCTTTTTGAGTACCGCGTTATTAAATGATTGATTTGAAAAGTATGAATGTATTACCTTTGAATACCGCTAAGATTTTAGGGCGGGAATCGAGCAGGCGCGCGGAAAAGCAGTCCACCCGACAAGTGCACCAAATCGATCGCTCTCCAACACAATCACAATTCACAATTCACAAGTCCATAAAATCAAAAAGGTAAGCTTTGTTACTGCTAGCTACGGTAGCTAGACCTCTAGGGAACCGCCGCAGCAGCTTGTCTCCTTCTCCTCCTGTCAAGTTGACCATGAACTCACATCGCGCTCTCTTCTCTCACTTACTTCTCACCGCCTCGCATCTCCACCTACGGCTCCCGTTACTGCTAGTAGCACAGTCGCGTGATCGTGTTGTCTTGTGAAAGCTTCGAGTGACAGTCCACAGCCCACTTCTACTATACAGTCCTACCGCAGTCACCAGCCATCGATATCGTGATAGTCAGCCTACAAACACAACAAGAAGTACTCTGATGTAAGTCCATGTCCCGTGGCGGCGCCATCGATCGTGGTCGATCTTTCGTGCACATTGTCATTGCGGGACTCGTCACTCATTTACTGCTCGCCCCTTTTGATGCTTCCACTGACAAACACAGACACAGAAACAGACAAGACAAGATGGTGAACCCATTACTCAACCAACAAGGAATCTCCCTACTGATTCAGTCCTTTGATGGGACCAATCCATTCTTCAAGTTGTTGCAAGAGGGGAAACTTCATCCCCCCGAAGACTTCCTCTTTGGCGACCCCGCCCAAAAAACACCCTCACTAGGGAACAAATCGAAGACTCTTCTCCGCATCCATACGGTAGCTTCTTCAAAGGACACATGGCGGATGAAAAAGGATACGTCAAGCGGGAGCTTCTCGATTTGACTGGGGTCCCTATGGTCGAGTCCTATGGAACCCTCGTTGAGCAGAAGTTCAAGTACAACACGGACTTCAAGGAAATTCTTTGGCGAGTACTATTCATTCTAGTGAAGGGACCAATGCAACTGGTCCAGCATCGCGCCACCGACGGGCGTTGGCTGCAGCATGCCCACATCTTTATCTTCATTTGCGAAACACATCTCCCTGCTCTTGCTGACTGGGGCTACTGGTTCGTTGCCAATATCGACCAAAAATCTCGCGACATCCAGGTATTGATTGGCAATGACAACAAATGCGGTCACGCTTCCCTATACTACCTCTTCCGGTACGCCTACTGGTGCACTGGATCCAAACGCAAGACACAGATCATGGACGACATTCTCGAGAAGACGCATCCCACGACAAAGAAGTCCCTCAAACGAAAGCTCAAAAAGCTCTTCAAAGATGACGCCGAGAGAGCTCAAGTCAAGGGCCTCCAACGACCCGACAAGTTTCCTGGTCAGGATCAGTTTGATCTCACTGCCACCGGTATGTACCGGTATGCTTTTATCGTTGCTTGTCTCTACATATCTCGTCACTCCACGACTATTCACTGGCTCAACCCGTCCTCCTTGTCTCACATGCATCCACGCATCCATTCATTAGATACAGAGCCCGAGGATGCTGCGGAGGATTCTGCGGAGGAGGAGTCGATGGCGTCTAGTGATGATGGACTCTTTGCCGACGAGTCGGATGCAGATTCGGATTATGACGTCGACTTCCGATTTTGATGCCGATGTTCCTGTGTCGCGACTTGAATCCATTCATTTGGTTGTCGAGCTGCAAGATACTAGTACGACCAAGAAAGACAACGAGAATGCCTCTTTGAAAGTTCGTTTGTATGATGTCTTGGATGAAAAGGAAGCACTCGCAGACAAGGCGGAACGACTTGAAAAGCAACTGGAGATAGAGAAGCGTGAAAAGAAAGAAGCTGTGGCTGCACTGGAGATGGCGAAGCGTGAAAAGGAATTGGAGAAGCGTGAAAAGGAGATGGAAAAGCGTGAAAAGGAAGCATTGGAGGACAAGGTGGAAGAACTCCAGGCACAGCTGGATGCCAAGGACGACGAAACCGCGGTCAAGCTCGAAGACTAGTAGGTGATTTATTTGTGCCCATAATTTCGACTGCCTGTTCGGATGCATGACCCATGACGCATGGCAGTCCAAGTAGTGAAGTGTGTAATCTCAGTAACCGAACCGTATTCTGTGTTGATCTCATGATATCTACCGACTGTGCTAGTACCGGTAGCTCCAATCTAGCTGTCCTCGCTTGATCCTTTTGGCAGCTGCATCTCGGTCAGCATTCCCCGACATGTTTTGTGTAGTCAAGAGCTAGCTAGAACATGGCCATTGGGTACCGGTACGGTATCATCTTTGGGAACGATGCTGCTGAGTGTCGCCAAAAGGCTGTACGGGTACCGCCTGTATGCATGACAACAGTCGTGCCTACCGTTGTCACGTCAGTGAGTGCTGTGAAGAGCAAAGGCTGAAGCCAGGGTACTGGATTTAAGAAACAATAATGGAAATATTGCCTTTAAATACCGGTATCGTACTGCACAGGATGAAGCCATCTATTTGAAAATACTGTACCAAACCGTACAGTACGGGTCGTCTACACTACTGTACTGTATCAGTACCGCATTGTAGAGTGCCGTCACGATACTCTAGTGTTCCTTCGCACCAACCATGCGCTACCGGAAAATCGCAATAGCAACAGGGTAATGAAAAATAATGGGGTTTAGAGTACCGGTACGTACGGAAGAGTCATGCTTTTCCTGGCTAGCTAGAGATCCCTACAAGTAGGTACGCTTCCCAATTCCCAACCGCGCAAAGCTGACAAGGAGATTGCATGGGGGCAGCAACGATCGACAGAGACAAACAATTCAAACATTCAAACAACGATGGCACCGTGACAACAAGGATGAGATGAATAGTCAAACGGTGGAACTTGATGGTCAGCACCCAAATGCAAACAACGGCGAGAGCCAACAATTGGTAAATGAATCGAGGATTGGAACCAAACAAATGCCAAATGCATCTCGGTTGATGCAGACGTGGCTGGCATGGTAAACAATTCGCAGTCTACAATCAAACCAAACATCAGCTCGGTCGTCTTGAGTAGGCTTAGACAGCTGCAGAGTGAGTTTGCCTTCGCGAGGAATGGTCAAACCCTGTTGGCAGGTGTTGGTAGTACATGTTATCACAGCAGGGAAGAGATGGGGGCTATGCTAGGCAGAGCAGGGGCATCGGTGGTGGGTAGCACTGGAAGAGAGCAGGGAGGACGGGAGAGGGCAAAAGATTGGTGTGCCGGTTGCTAGGTAGGATAAGGTCCCTTCGTACAAGACCAAGTCGAAATCGAAAAGGTGTCACTATAATGCTGGGGGCAACGCACGACAGATTATAGCCAGACTCATAAAGCTAGGTAGGCAAGCTTTGCATGCATGCAATGACATTCTGGGACACTTACAGGGCTATTGTCTACCTGTCTACACTATGGCCGGAGCTACGAGCTAGCTGGGAGTACTAAGTGGTTTGGGCTTAAGGCTATAGAGCTGTTAATGCTACTATTGCTTTGGGCCCAACCCAAGCTGTGTGAGTGGTGGTCAACATTTTAAAGATGGGACTCGTCATTGTTGCCGTTTTATTTCAAACTGAAACGGCCAAACTCTTGGCAAAGATACGGTACGAGTGGTGGCCGTTCACATGTCGGAGGCAGCTTCCAAGCATTATCCGCCCCGTGGTACAGTAGAAGCAGCAGTCTATCCGAGTTTCTATTGAAAGCTGAGGCCTTCCTGAGAGAAACGAGGATTCACAACACGACGTGGAACGTGGAAGATGTGACGGCAAATCTGTGTAACGTCACGGACGGTGGATAACGCAAGGGATACTAGAGTAGAGTAAAAGTCATTTTAAGACCGACCTTTCCGCGGATTATTCTCTTAAGAGGTGGATCTCGAATATTGTTCTTCTAAGTAGCTGAATCGAAAGGGCACATGTTGTTGAGTATCCCATTAAATTCCCAAGATCAGAGTGTACTTATTGGTGGAGTTATGGTTGATTGAAAAAAAACTCACTTTTGTGACGAATTCTTTTTCTCTGCAGTTTAAGACTTTACAGTACTTAACTGTGTAGGATCCTACATACATGAGTCCTGTAAGATCCTACAGAACACTTAGGAAGCACCTCAATTGCTCTGGTACTGAAGCTACGTAGGATCCTACGTAAGAACCTCTATTAATTACATGGTCTTAATCTTCACCCGGTCTTAAAATGACTTTCACTCTAGTGGGCTTTCGGTACTAGCTAGCTAGCAGCTAGCTAGCTAGTAGGTAGGAACTTTATCCGCCGGAACTCGGAGTCTCAGACCGTAGACCATTAAAGAGGAGCGCGCGTACCGGTAGGGAGCATTCAACAAAGCCGCCGGATGGGCACGGTGACCACCGGTACGTACATCTAACTCCTTGAACATGACCCCTGGAACCTGCTGCCGGTACCCACCCCGCAAAGACCAATACTCTAAATAGATACGTTAAGGAGTGCGGGGGGGGGACAATGGTACCGATTACCGGTACATTGTGTTGAAGTTTCCGAACTGTTCCCCGGACGGTTGCACGAAGCATCAGCGATTGTAAGCTGGTTGGGCCACTCAGTTCGCAACTAGCTGTAAATACTCCCAAGGCCCAATGATAAAATAATGTCACCAGGACATTAATAAGCCGGTCAGGATGGGTACCTGCCAGAGATCTGCCGGAAAGGCCAACGGTTACCGGTACGAAAAATCCCTTGGTCTGCCACATCTGAACTCTCTCACAAACTCAACATAATTTACATGTACCTGCTACTGAAAGCAAAGATGAAGATCACTGCACTCCCTCTCTTCACCATTATTACCATGGCATTGATGGCCATGGCCCGTGGTGATGCCGTCTGCTTTTCCGCCGAGGTTACCGCCTCACTGACGGGTACTGATACTCAAACATTTACACCCCTATCTGGAACCACTGACGTCCAATGTGATGTGGACTGTGACAGTTCTAGAAACTTCTTTGTTCAACTGTTGGTTGGTGGGGCTGTTCAGACTAGTACATTTACTTGTGGAACCACCATTTCCCACATGACATCCTCAAGTGTAGAGTTAACATATGTTACAAATTTTGACGTCATGAATATTGTCTTTACATGCACTTGCATTGGAGCCAGTGCTCCTGCTCCGGCTCCCACTCCTGCCCCCGCTTCCTCTTGTTTTTCTGAGCAAGCCACTGTGAAAGTGAAACAACCAGGCCAAGGACAAGTCCCAGTACCCACCAAGATGGCGGACCTCAAGATTGGAGACATGATCTTGACCGCCCGCAATCGGTACCAGCCAGTCTATGCATTCGCCCACGATGATGCCACGACTGACACGGAGTTCCTACAAATCCACACCACAAGTGGCAAGAACAACAAGAACAAGAAACCATTGGAAGTCACTGGTCAGCATTTGGTCTATGTGCAGGGCAAGGATGCCCCAGTCACAGCCAAATCCATCAAGGTTGGAGATAGTCTTGCCCATGCTCAAGCTGGACATGGACAAGGAGGAGCTGCCCTTGTCACTAAGATTGAGACTGTCCAGCGCCGTGGAATCTATGCTCCAATGACTCAGGATGGCACCCTTGTGGTGGATGGCATTGCCTCCTCTTGCTACATTTCCCTCCAGTCCAATGGCGATCCCGAAATGATGAAATTAAACGGCCACTCTGCGTCCATTATCTCTCACCACAGTGTTGCTCACATGCTCATGACTCTGCCTCGTTTGGTTTGCATGGGTGGGATCAACCCCAAATTGTGCCAGGAATACAATAATGATGGTGTGCTCATTTTGTGCAGACGGCGTTTGATTTGTCCGACTGGTTCCATGCCCAGTACTGGGTGGTTCAGTTGTTCCTTTTGGCTCTCTACTTGGTGGTCTTGTGTCCCCTCTATGCCTTGGAGCTCATGTTTGGTGCCAAGCTGGCTGCTGCTATGATTGTTGGCGGATTGGTCTTTGTGGGTTTTGTATGTGGAAATATCAGTGCTCCTGCTGTGGACCCGATGGACTTGAAGAAAGAAGCTTGAAGAATGCAAAACACTGGCCCAAAAGTAGTATATGTAATGATTTGAAAGAAAAACAAGAAGAAAGAAACGTGAAGAATGCACAAGTAGGTATATATAATGATTTGAAAGAAGAAGAAAACTTGCAACTATCTACCGGTACAGTAGCTAGAATACAAGAAGCAATGCATACTAGCTAGTACTCAGTCGGCCCAACAACAAAGTGGCTACTGGTACAGCAGCCAACAAGTTGTAGCCCCAGAATGTACCAGATGTGGGGCTCATGTTCAAATTGCGTTAGTAGACACACCCTGGTGATCATAGTCGTCGTCTTTCGTTCCGAATGATATCTTCTTTGAATCGAACATGTTGCCGAGACTTGGGGGTACTAGCTAGTAGTACTTTACCGTAGAGGAGACTACCTACCCTCTGTTCTTGCAGGAGTGGACCGAGTGGTGTTGGAAGCAGGTCAGGGCGTCGAAACAGTGGACATCGTTTTTTAATAGCTTGACCGTCTTAACGATCAAAAGATACACCTCCAACCCTATCCGAGTGCTCTACGGCCACTCATTTTTTCTCCCACGAAGTCAGTTTTCTCAAACAACGGCCAAGCCATGGGTGCATTGCTGCTTCTATCTACTGTATAATCATAATAAGGAAGCCTCTCCAATATAAAATTAGAAAGAGAGCAGGTGATTGATTGATTGATTGATTGATTGATTGATGAGATCAAGGTAACTAACTAACAAACTATTTCTAGTAGTAAGATGGATCTTGGCAATTTGGCAACTCCTGATCAGAGCCACCACAAGCACAAAGGTCGTCAAGCAGGTCGTGGGGCGAAGGAGAAGAAAAAGGATGCGAAATTGAAAAAAGACCAAAAACGAGTGGACCGCCACAATCCCCGTGCTTTCTCCGTGGCCAACATTGTCCGTACGCAGCGTACGATTCAGCGTAACTTGGATATTTCTCAAAAGAAGGAGTACGTGCCGTTGCGGGATCAACGACGTCGAGCGACCAATGACGCGATATCGACCAATGACACGGCGGATCCTCCCGTTGTCGTCGTTGTCATGGGACCTCCGGGAGTTGGAAAGTCCACGCTTATCCGGTCCTTGGTCAAGCAGCACACCAGTCACAACTTGACTACAGTCACCGGACCTGTCACGCTCGTTACGGGCAAAAATCGACGCGTTACGCTCTTCGAGTGTCCCTCCACAAGTACCGAAGCCATGCTGGACTGTGCCAAAATCGCGGATCTCGTATTGCTCTGTGTCGATGCCAAATTCGGATTCGAAATGGAAACATTCGAATTCCTCAATATGCTCCAAACCCACGGCATGCCAAAGATTATCGGCGTTTTCACACATTTGGATCAGTTTCGGACCGCAAAGAACCTAAGACGCACCAAAAAGCTGCTCAAGGACCGATTCTGGACCGAAATTTACAATGGAGCCAAAATGTTCACCTTTTCAGGAGTTGTCAATGGCCGGTATCTCAAGACCGAAGTCAGGCAGCTCGCGTTGTTCATTTCAAGAGTCAAGGTAATTAATTTACACGCGTGCAATCTATTTGTGTGTCCCTGAATTTTAAAAGGAATACTCATCTTGTTCCGTTTGATTTCACCCCTTTTCTTAAATATAGTTCCGCCCCTTGGTTTGGCGCAATACTCACCCGTACGTGCTGGTGGATCGACACGAAGACATGACGCAAGTTGCGCTCTTGGACGAGGATCCAGAATGCGAACGATCCGTCGTTTTCTATGGATACATTCGAGGAACCAATCTTAAACCGGGAGCCATGGTCCATGTCATTGGATTGGGAGATTATCCCATTGGTTCCGTATCCACCATTCCAGATCCATGTCCCACTCCCCAGGTCGAGGGAAAACGGGAGGTAAGCAAATTTAAAATAGGATATTAAGGAATTGCATTTTGGATGTTTTATTGTCACCTCACTTTTTATTTTGTGATTTGTCCAGTCTTTGACCACGTCGGGATCTCGATTTTTTGCTCCCTTGTCCAACGTGGGAAAAATTGTCATGGACAAGGACGCCGTCTATATTGATGTCGGGAAAAGTCGCAGAAGAGATCCTCTGGCAGCCGCCGCAGAAAAACAACAATCCTCATCAGAAAGCGACAGTGATGACAGCAGTGACGAGGAACAAAATAGTGGCAACGAGGAAGAAGAAGATGATGAAATCGACTCGGATGACGAAGGAGCCATGCTGCAAAATCTACAGGATGTTCGTGATGGATTGGATGAAAAAAGAAAACGCTCGGCACTCTCGATTTTTGCTCACAGCAAGGCTGTACCGCAAGATTCTTCTTCTTCTGAGGACGATGATGAGGATTCGGACAGTGACAGCGATGATGGTGACAGTAGTGACGAGGACGGTCTAACCCAGAAAAGACCTGCCACATTCGGTGCGGGTGGTGCCGCTGCCAAAACCTCAGGCGACTCTGACTCCTCATCGGATGACACCAATGACAATGACGAAAGCGAGGAAGACGACGGCCCCATTGCAACCAGAAAAGCAAACATGGTCCAACGGGCAGCGCAATCATTCTGGGACCGAAAGTCCGCTGCCTTGAGTGCCCAGAGCTACATTTACGGAGATGACAATGACAATGAATCCGGCTTCCAGGAGGGCGACCATGAAGACGACGACGACGGAGATGACAGCGATTCCTCCGATGAAGAATTCTTTTCCGTGAAAAACAAGAAGGAAACCAAAAGCCAATCAGCAGACAATGGAACTCGCCAAGCGAAGCTCAATCTCACCGAAGACGATTCCTCGAGAGCTGGCAACCTACAACGGGATACGTTTGAGATGTGGCCCTGGCTCCAGGAGGGAGAGGATTGCCTGGTAGAGTCGCTGCGAGACAGATTTGTCACGGGAAAATGGGAATCCAGCAGCGACAACATGGCAGACGCAGGCAATGATCAAGTGTTTGGTGATTTTGAAGACTTGGAAACGGGAGAGGCATTTGGGTCATCCGCTGCAAAGACTGATGATGATGACGACGACAGTGATGTCGACACGAGTGGAATGACGGACGAACAGGTCAGAGAGTACAATGCGCAAAAGAAGTTGAAGCGCAAAGCAGCCAAAGCAGAGGAATCGGATGATGAGAATGCTGATGGAAAGCAAGGCAATGCTCAGGAAGGAGACGACGATGATGACACCAACAAGTATTTGGAGTCTGTCAAACAAGAGAAAGAACAGCGGCTCCAGCGAAACATGGAAGAGTTTGCAGAGGATGGAGAACGGTCTCGTGTTCGACACGAAGGCTTTCGTCAAGGGCTGTACTGCCGCATCAAAATCGACGGAATCCCAGCCAGCTTTCTAGATGCATTTGACCCGAACATGCCTCTTGTTATTGGCGGCCTCGCTTCGGGAGAGCACCAGTTGGGACTGGTGCGGTGTCGCTTCAAGAAGCACCGTTGGCACAGAAAGATATTGAAAAGCAACGATCCACTGGTCTTTAGTGTCGGATGGCGACGTTTCCAAAGCATTCCAGTCTTCTCCACCGAGGACGAAAACGGCAGGTTGCGGTTCCTGAAATACACACCCGAGCACATGCACTGTGTCACAACATTCTACGGTCCCAGCATCCCACCCAACACGGGTGTCCTCGCGATTCAGAATCTCAACGGTAAAGTACCTGGCTTTCGGATCTCTGCAACTGGCGTCGTATTGGAGCTTGATTCTTCTTTCCCGATTGTCAAAAAGCTCAAGCTGGTTGGTTCGCCAAGCAAAATCTACAAGAACACTGCGTTCGTTTCTGGCATGTTCAACAGTGATTTGGAAGTGAGCCGCTTTGAAGGTGCCAGCATCAAGACTGTCAGTGGCATTCGCGGGCAAATCAAAAAGGCACTGCGCGAAGGGCAGCCAGGATCCTTCCGAGCAACATTTGAAGACAAGATTCTCTTGTCTGACATTGTCTTTTGTCGAACCTGGATGCCCGTTGAAATCAAGCAATACTACAATCCCGTGACCAATCACTCGGCGAACGACGGCTCATGGCGTGGGATGAAGTCGAAAGCTCAGATGCAAATTGATTCGGGTACTCCCATCAAGGTCAACGCAGACTCAATCTACAAGCCGATTGAGCGGACTGATCCACGGTTCAAACAGATCAAGATTTCTCAGCGACTGGAACAAGAACTACCATACTCTAGCAAACCCAAGCACGAACAATCGAAGAGGAAGAAGAAGGCTTACGTTGCGAAGAGGGCTGTGGTGTTGGAGAAAGACGAAAAGAAGAAGCTTGGTTTCATCCAGGCCTTGAACGCCATCCGGGACGAAAAGGTTTCGATCCGGAAGGATAAGAACGCAGAACGCATTCGTCAGAAGAGTGCAGAGGCAAGTCAGAAGGCGGGTAAGCTTGCTGCCCAGCAAAAGGCCAACAAGAAGCGTCAATACCGAGCAGAGGGCAAACGAGAGAAAGGGCGCGAAGCAAAGAGATTGAAGGGTGAAACATAGACCTAGATTGTCACTAACTAGCTAGCTAGCTAGTGTTATAGCATCCATCCTAGCTAGATAGTAGGCAGCTACCAGGTACCGGTAGTGAATGCTGGAGCAAAGAATGTTTGTTTTATTTAAAAGACCAACGATTGGTGCGGGCGTCCTGGTAGCCACAAGCGCAGTTCGGTGGGAGAATGGCTAGCTATTTTAATAGCTATGATAGCTAGATCTACCAGCCGAGGGTTTTGGCTACCGGTGTGACATACCGGTACCAATGGCAGCACATACATGTACAGCCCAACAATTTTCCATACCGCAGCTGACTATTAGCTATTAGCTATTAGCTAGCCTTGCCGCAACTACACATCATAACTGCACTACTAGCTAGTATGAATACAAATATATATACTGCTGCTAATAATGAAAGTACTACCAGTACAGAGTCTCCTCTTCCAGTGGACGATGATTTGATTTGGATCCAAGGCATTCTATCGTTTGTTGGCATTGGACAGTACGCTTTTCTAGGAGCTGTCAACAAAAAGATGAAACAACTGTACAAAGAGTACTGCAAAATTGAACTCAACAAAAATCCAAGAGAGGTAACGGTTTTCTCGCACGATGACTGGATTGATCATTATCGCTCTGCAGAAATCACTGATACTCTTTACAAGGAAGCATTCTGTAACCAGCCACGCGCAGAATACTGGCTCAGGGACAATTCCACCAACAAAACACCTCATCCTAATAGTGTTTGCTATGCAATTGCCAAAATTGGAAACATTATGGTCATGCAGTGGGCACTCCAACAAGGATTCTTTTGGAATGAAGAGTCGTGCTTTCATGCTGCTGAAAATGGCCAGTTGGAAATGCTCCAATGGTTAAGAGAGAATGGTTGTTCATGGGATGAAAGGACATTCAATTATGCTGTCCGAGCTGGACATTTGAAAATTGTCCAATGGTTAAGAGAGATAGGTTGTCCATGGGATGAAGAGTCGTGCTTTGATGCTGCTGAAAATGGCCATTTGGAAATGCTCCAATGGTTAAGAGAGAATGGTTGTCCATGGGATGGAGGGACATGCAACGTTGCTGCTGAAAATGGTCATTTGAAAATTCTCCAGTGGGCTCGGGCAAATGGTTGTCCGTGGAATGAATGGACATGCGACGTTGCTGCTGAAAATGGTCATTTGAAAATTCTCCAGTGGGCTCGGGCAAATGGTTGTCCGTGGCATGCAGGTACATTTAGAGCTGCCAGCGTACGCAGCAGAAGCAAAGTGATCCAGTGGCTACGTGACAATGGCTGTCCTGGATCTTTTTAACATAATTTATTGTAAGGTTAGGAATTTAGGAATTGAATCAAACACATTAGACATGCACATGGTGCCCCCTTCCTTCGCTAGACTAGCTATTGGTGAACGTCTAAATTACGACGGTACGATCTGGTTGCATGGACATGTTGCATAAGTAGTATAATATCGCTGGTGGTAACGGTAATAGCAAGGCTCTAGCTAGATCTCGACGGGTGATGGTTGCTCTGTGAAGGGACCACCGTGGAATCTTGTAGTGGAACCATCATTCGATCGATTTTTCATTCGATCGGATTCAAAACATGCACAGCAAGTTTCCAAAGAATCATTCGGAAGGTTAGAAGAACCGCGACTAGCTAGAAGAATTTTGCCGGCCAACTTTGTGTCGCCAGGCGCACATTTACTGTGACCTTGAGTGTAGTCAGTCCAGCACCACGTTTTGTAACTAGGAATGATGCTCATTTTCTTAATTGGAAGGGGAAAAAGGAAAAATGAGGCCTCCGGTAAGCAGACAACAAAAGTCGAAGCCACGCCAAGGCATTCCAGCAAAATACAAGAGGTGAAGCCAAGAAGAAAGAGATCGACCATGACGACTGAGTTTCAAGTGGGAAGCAACGTAGACATAGACATAGACGCAGCCGTAGAAGAAGCAGACGTCCGTAGAAAGAGACAGCGAAAGCGGGAGCGCGACAGACAACACCATCAGCAGCAGCAGAACGTGGAAGATCAAGTGCGCAACTACAATGCGGAAGTGCTGGTGGATCAAGCGCTCAACACTCTCAAGCAGACGTTGCTTCTAGAACTACCGTTGCCAGTGTCAGTACCGTTGTCAGTACCGATGTCAGTACCGCTACAAACACAACGAGGGCAACACAACACTCCAGACACGGCTATACAGTACGGAGCAAATGTGCGATCTTTCGCCAGTCCAGACCACTTCCACGCTCTGCCTCCCCACGCCCAAACCAACCCTCACCCCCAACAAACGCACAACCGAAGACACAATCGTGGCAGCAATGCTGGAAATGGAAACCAACCTACTACCACTACCACTACCACATTTACTAGTAATAAGCACAAGAAGGACAACGATCACCGTCACGTGTCCGAATTCAATGAAAGGCGGTACAATCACCACGACCGGTACATGTACGATTCCAGTAGAGACGATCCTTACTCGGCTGATTCCGAAGAAGCCTCCAGAGAACCATCCGTAAGACTCATTTCCGCACAAACCAACCAGACACGAAAGACCGCGGGATTGGTAGAACTTTACGTCAATCCAAATCAGGTCAAGCGCATCTGTGGATTCAACGTCATTCACCATCTCAAAGACAAAACGAATCGAAAGGTATTTCGCCAAACCGAAAAGATTCCACCCTATCTATGTCGTCTCGATGAAGCCGGTCCTTGGACGCGCATTTCAGAACAAAAACGACAACAGAGTCTGCGTGCACTCAACTTTATCGTAGAACAAAAGCAATGGAGACCCGTCAAACGAATGCCCACTGTCATTTCCACCAAACAAAACAGCAAACACATGCCAGGCAATCTGCGGACACCCTCGTCACGACACTATTACACACATCATCATCATCGATACGAAACACCACCTCTACGGCACATTTATCATCAACGACCGCAGCGCCAGTCAGACGGTGTGTACCCGCCTATTACACCCCATTACTACCACAGTACTGGTAGTAATTCACATCAGCACCATCCACACAGTGACTTGACACAGTCCCTACCGGTACCACTCTACTCAAGTCAGTTGTATCAACCACAACCACCACCACAACAGACCAATACATTGCCACCGCCACCACCACAACAACAACCACCACACTCCCATCATAATAATATATTCACCCAACCTACCGCCACCACACAACCAACAACCACCGCAACCGCAACACAGGCATTCCCCAATAGCATTGCCATTCCATCCTTGCAATGGGATCCACCGCCGCCCATACTTCTACAAACACCGACAGCTACAGCTACAGCTACAGATAGTAATGTGCCAGTCGACACGAATCCAACTGCAACCAATGCTTCTCAGCAACCACACCTCTCGCTAAACAACTTCAATCAAACGACAACGACAACGACAACAACAACTTTGGATCCACATATCACAGAAACAATAAAGAATCCCGAGATGGAGCCAGTCAACGAACAAAAGCAGCAGCAACCCCTACACAAAAAGCAAAGGGCAAACAACAGTAACAACATCAGCAGCAACAACAGCAACAACAACAATGACCGAACCACCAATGTCAAGCACGCAAACCAGCCACCAGCGTACATGGATGTATCTTCTTTGGCGGGAACTTCGATTGAACCAGGCATGCCCACCACGGACGATCCGTCTGGAATTGTAGTTGTAGTTCGAGACAAGGCTGCCACTAAATTACAAAGAAAGACGCGGAGTAGTAGGAGATCCACTGTGGATGCACCCGAACAGATCTCGACGAGACGGGCAGCCAATGATGCATCGCCACAACAGCGGTCTCATCAGTCGTCTCAACGACAACCATCGCTGGCATCCCTGTCGTCGCCAAAGCCACACGCAACCAAGCGACAAGCGCCACACACACTGCAGAATAAAAGGGACGTGGCTGCCATGTTGGATGAGAAACAACAACAACAAGGACCGCAGCTACTCACGGACGACGACGAGACACTGCAGTCCAGGCAGCACAACATTCATGAACATTTGCAAGAAGAAGCAATCAAGGAGGACTGTCACGGGAGGATCGATGGACAAGCATCGGAGCGGGTATCGGAAGCGTCGTCGTCATCGTCGGGGCCATGGAGTGCCTACATTCGTCTGCAGCAACAAAAGGAACGGGAAGAAAGGGGGAAATCGGCGCGTCGGCAAGGTTCAGAAGATAGTTCCGAACAACCATGGGAAGCCTACATTCGGCAACAAGAAATGATTCAAACAGTCGAAACCAAGGCACGCAAGGGAACCGCAACAGTGGACGGGACAAGCGCTTCCAGTGCCGATGGGATCCAACGCAAGAAGCAGGAGGGGGCATCATCTCCCTCTCAAAAAGCAAAGCCAACAGCAACACGCCACGCCAAACCTGAAATGAAGAAACAAAAGTCGAACAATCTGCTGGATGAATATCACCGGCTGCAGGAAGAACGCGTTGCCAAAGGCAAGTCCGACTCTCCGAGAATGTCCAGAGCAAAGGCACAGGAGGACCAGTCCGAGCAACCCTCCGAAGATGTGGTGTCGCAGCAGCCAAGTGAACCATCCAAGGAACCGCGCCAAAAGTACTCGTCGAAGGATCACCACAGCAGTCGGGATCAACTGCGAAAGCCGGGGCCTCCAAAGAGGTCTTCTGCTCACAAGGTGGCACCCCCAGAAGCAAGAAAGTCGTCAACGACGACGAAACACCGTGCGCATGAAGACGATGACCCGTCGGAACAGCCCACCGAAAGTACTGTTTCGCACAGGACATCTGAGTCCCAGCGTCGGCAAAGTGATGCAAGCAGGAGGCGTTCTTCGACGAGGAAGCATGGGACACACAGGCACCACCCAACCGACGAGGCATCAGAACAACCGTCGGAGGACTTGTCACGGTCTCGTCAAAGTGTGCAACGGGCAGTCACCAAACCAAGGCAGGTAGTAGCCAAGAGGCACCCTACGACATCAACAACAAAGCACGTTAATTCAAAGGGAGAACGACGAGGGGAACCGCCGACCGTGGAGTCTCCCTTGTCGTCCAAGCCAAGTCCATGGCGTCACCGCCAGGCCGGAACCGAATACCCATCCAAGCCACCGCTCAGCAATCAGATAGTTGTCCCACCACTGCCGGATGTAATAATTCTGCGCACTGCGTCGAGTTCGCGCACCGGTATGGATCCACCAGGAGTTGAAGGAGAAGAGTTGTTTCAGCAACATCAGCAACAAAAGCAGTTATCCGAACGTCAGCAGGAACTTCTGGAAAAGCAGCAACAGTGGCAACTTAGCATGCTAGAGCGGCAGCAGAGACAACTACAGCGCATCCAGCAAAATCAACAAGTCCAGCAGCAACATGACCAGCAACAGCGACAAATTCAACAGCAGCTGCAACAGCGGCAACATCTCCTTCAAGAGCAACAGCTTCAACAACAGAAGATACAACAGCAACAGTTTGAGCAACAGAGAATCCAACAGCAGCAACAGCAGCAGCAATTTGAGCAACAAAGACTCCAACAGCAACAACAGCTTGAACAACAAAGGATACAGCAGCAACAACAACTTGAGCAGCAAAGGATCCAACAGCAGCAACTCAAGCAACAACAGCTTCAACAACGTGAACAACAACTGAGGTTGCAGCAGCAGGCGGTGATGGCTCCATCTTTGCCTCCTCCGACCCCAGGCGGGACCCGCAATCTAGACGCGATGAAGACTCCCGCGACGCACAAGCGCAAGCTGAACAAGTGGGACACAGTTGACCAGCCGGCCCGCAGGCTGTCTCCAGACTGGAAAGACGACGAAGAAACGGAAAAGAAATCTCTGGCACGAATTCAAGCCGCATTGCCGTCCAACCACAGCAACCCAAGCTCAAAGCACTCTGGGGAATCACTCTCGCAACGCCACGCACCGAAGCCGAGTGCCAAGGAGAAAAAGGAGATGACGGAGACGAATCCAAGGGAACAAGGCCAGGCAATTCTAATTGCCATGGCCGCTCCTGCGACGAAGGCGAAGCCAAGGAAGGATCCTTACAGCAGTGACGACATCGACATGGGCGAGTCCACCAGTGCCTTTGCAGACAACGGATTTGTTGCTTTTGTGAATAGCAACCATAGTTCTACAAAGAAGACCGGGCGAGGGGGCACTAGGAGCCCAATTGCCGCATCAGAGACACAGCAGGAAAGATTGGGTAAAATGTCTCCGCAGGCTACTAAGGTCAAGGCAACCCAGCGCCGCTCAATTTCTTGGCACGACCGACAGGAACCCATTGAAGACAGAAAGCCTGCCGCAGAAGAGAATACAACAGACGATCTTTTGGCAGTTATTGCGGCGCCCCTACGAAACAATGCACGCAGAACATACAGCGAAGAGGTCAGCATCAGCTCGGGCTCAGATGTCAGTTTCGATTCTGCTACGAGGTCGATTAGCGAAAACAGTGACATTCTGAACAGTGTGGAAGGCGAAAGGAGCAACCGAGCGCAACGAACGGCTGGCAGTGCGCCTCCTGAGATTGGTGCAATCCGTCTTTTGAACCACAGTGGCGGTTCTACTGATCTGGTTAGTCCAGTTACTGAAGCCGGGGTTGGACCATCGAGTGCGAATGCTGCGACCGTGGACGACAGGCTCCTGCAGGTCATGGCCGCACCGACAACGCCGCTCAAGCCTTCACTGGCTGGCCAGAGTATCGATATTGATTCAGGTTCCGAGTTTGAAGTGGGTTCTTACACCGGTTCTTTGAGTGAAAATGACTCTGATGCTGGGCCTGCGTGTGGCCCTTCCAAGTCGAAATCAACACAAGCAGCATGTTCATTGAAACAAACAAACGATTCTACATTGACGCCAACTCGAGCAAACAAGTCATCGCCCGAAAGCGGACTGCTTCGAGCCATTGCTGCACCTACCATTGCCCTGAAAGTCCAGACAGGCGGTGATCTGGGGCTTGACTATGATTCCGATTTTGACGTGGGATCTTTTGATGGGTCTCTCAGTGAAGGTACCGTTGATAGTGCTCCGATTGGAACGGACTCCATCGCTGCGCATAAGCCAAAGCAAGAGACTGCTCAAGCGGCGGTGAGAGCCAAACAAGAACCGAAGGAACCTCACCACAGCCAAACTCTTGGGGCCGACAAAGCTACTCCAACCAAGACAATGCTTGTTGCCGAACCTGCTCAGACGAAGGCAACAGCAAAGCTTTCACCACGAAGTGCAGAAGCAGCACAGACGCAGGAAAACCAGCTTCTAGCAGCTATCGCCGCCCCGACAAGCGCCCCACCGAAGACGCCAAACATGGACCTCTATGATTCGGATCCGGACTTCGATGTTGGATCGTTCACGGGGTCTTTTAGCGGACACAGTGACAGAAGTAGCAGTCCTCCAAGAGACCCAAGTCCGAAGGCAATGTCACCCGCTGGGTCACCGGCAATCAGAAAGAATGCAATGGCTGAAACCCATACCCAGAAAGGTGGCGTGGAGCCAAACAATGTTCCTGCAAACAACAAGGACAGAATCTTGCAGGCGATGGCAACCCCAGCTAAGAAAGAGAAGAAGGGTCGCAATGCCTTTGATGACTTGAGTATCGACAGTGGTTCCAATATGGATCTTGGATCAAGTGTTGACCTCAGCAGTGACAGCGAACAACCTGTGGTGGTTTCTAGTTTGCCCGAGAAGCAGCCCACGCCAGACGTGGAGCATTCGCCGAATCCAGCCAGGAAGGAGTATGTTCCGAAGCAGATTCAATTCGAAAATGCCGAGGAGAAGAAGACGCACGGCGCAAGAGTACTTCAGGCGATGGCCTCACCATTTGCTTGCCGACAACCACAACGGCAGCCAAGTCTTTATGACTTGGATGACGATTCAGATTTTGACGAGACTGGCAGCGACGCGGAAATCGGAAGTGAGCCGTCCAATGATGCGTCACACGGGAACAATCCAGGAACTGCCGATGTTGCCAGCATTCAAAGTGCAGGCGAGGCAGAGGTTCCAGTGGCTGTGGCAGACCCAACTGAGGCGAAGCCGGATGACGATTTGCATTCTGATTTGCATTCTGATATCCATTCTGTTAGCCAGAGAAAAAGAAAGAACGAACCAAGCTACGATGTCTTGGAAGCCATGGCAGACCCGACATCATTGGATAAACCTAAGCCTGTGCCATCTTCTGACGATGACGTGGAGTCAGAAATCAGCTTGACAGGCTCTGTTCATAGTGTCAAGGCCCAGAAGGAAGGCACCAATAATAATGCTATACTGAATGCAATCGCAGCACCAGTCAAACGGACAGCTGATCCTCTGGATGACTTGAGTATCGATTCTGCGTCTGATTTCGGTTCTATTCCCGATGTCGGCGATGGAGACGTCCCGGCATCCTCGCCACCGCCAATTCAAGAGACTGAAACCAGCATTTTGCAGCTACGAAGCCCCGTACAGCCTGAATATTCCAAGAAGAAACTGACCTTCGCAAACAAGAGCGAGAAAGCAGCCTACAACACAAGTGTGCTCGCAGCCATGGCAGCTCCAACCGTAAAGCCCGCAGCAGCGCCACAAGCCAGCAAGACTCGAAGTGCCTACGACTTCGACGAGGATTCCGATTTCGAAATCGATTCTGATTTCGACGAAAATTCCAGGGACACCTCATCTAGTTCCAACAGCCATAACAGTTGGGATCGGCATGGCGAATCGAACAAACTTGAGAACGACAGTGACGAGAAACTGCAAGGTCACAGCAGAGTTGGACACACTGAACCACAGAACCAAGCTGGAGAGTCGAATGATATTGGAGAAGAAAAGAGCGTCGATGGAGGCATGGAACCTGTACAACCCCAAAGGGCCAGTACCTTTGATCAGCCGAGTTCTGCTGGGGCATGGTCAGCCTTTGAATCCGACTTCACTCCAGAGAAAACAGACGAAGCTCTGAATGCAAACGTTTCCATTGAAAAGAGCGAATCGGAGAATCAGCCATCTTGGGATGCATGGGGCACAGACCCTTTTGCGACTGCTCCAAGTCAAGCCGAGACAGAGAAACACGAGAAGAAAAATGACCCTGAAAATAATCCATCATGGGATGCGTGGACAGAAGATCCTTTCATGAAAGCTCAAACGACCAGCAACAATGACAAGGAAGAAGGCAGGGCCTGGAGCCCTGGACACGACGAACCTTCAAGAGTCGGGAGAGGTGACTCGGCATCGAATGGGGAGCCCGAGAACGCGGACGACTTGTCTGGAAAGCACAGTGATCACAGTAAGTCATTGTATGGGATGCCACCTTCACCACCAAAATTTCTTTTGAAAGCCAACCTTTACATTACAATCTCAGGTGGTCTGCCATTAGAGCATCCAGCTCCCGTTCGCCCAAAAGGAGAATCAGGTTCGCTCCCTTCGATTGAGGCACTCAATCCTCCAGCTGGGCTAGCTTATGCGCCAGGAGCAACTTCTGCATTTTCCGCAGTTGGATCGCCAATCCAATCCAAAACAGAAGGTTTGATGAAGCCAGACGCAGACGGTAACACGGACCACGCTGAACAAAACGAGCGACCCAAAGCAAGTAGATCCACCGGAGGTTCAGAGGAAGATCCTCGGGCTAAAGCCTATGCCCTCTTGAAAAAGCTTGAGGACAAAGAGCAAGATAGTATTGCTAGTGATTCAACTCATTCAAGACACTCGTCACGTCATTCCTCTGCGCATTCAAACGGATCTTATGCATCTTCGGTTGTCTCTCCGGCACATTCAAGACAATCATCTATGCGTTCTAATTCAACCCACTCTGGAGATTTGTCACCGCGCAGTGCTCCTGATGCAAGCAAAAAACAGCTTGTATCAACTGAGCTAAATCTCGACTCCAAAGGTGATCCCTTGAATGGTCACTCTTCAGTCGGCTCGAGGCATTCACCAACGCACTCAGACCGATCACCGCCCCCCTTGAATGATGAGCCAGGTGTATCTCCTGATGACTCCTCGGCAGATTCAATACAGGCATCAATGCCTTCATCGATTGACTATAAATCACCCTCCAGAAATGATTCAAAAACAGTGTTAGTCTCAACCCAATTGAGTTTGAAGCAAAAGTACGGTGCTCCCATGAATAATGAACCGGAGGTATCTTCTGTTCATTCTTCAGACAATTCAAGACATTCCTCTTTGCACTCTTCGGCTCGCTCCCGAGACCAGTCCCCTGTTGATGACCAATCAAGGTCCAGCAGACATTCTGCACAATCTGAAAGTGGCCCAGAGACCCCTCCAACATCCTCATCTGCAACGAAGCCGCGGTTGAATTTGAAGGTGTCCCGGCTGAGGGCTGACCCAGCGTCTGAACCTGAGGAGCCGGCAGTTGCATCTGAAGAGCCAACATCCAAACCTGGCCCATACGGCAAAGGAAAGCCCTCTAAGCCACGGTTGACTCTGAAGATGACTCGAATTGGAGGCCCTGAACAGAAGACAGAGGTGATCACAACGAAGCCAAGTGCTCCATCACCAAGCAACAATGATTCATCTGGATCTGAAAATTCATCAAGAGCAGAGGATGATGGCAGTGGACAACGATCACCATCATTTGATGAAGGATCCAACTCAGGAACAGATGGTGAACACAGCCCCGCACCTTCTACATCTTCAAAGCCAAGGTTGACTTTGAAGATGACTCGCATTGGAGGTCCTCAACAAACCACAGAGGTTATTTCAAGGAGACAGTCTTCATCACCAATGCAAAATTCACCATCACAAAGCAGCAGGGGCTATTCAGGATCTGACCATTCATCTAGAGCTGGTTCTGGTATTGATGATGATGATGGCAGTGGACAACGATCACCATCATTTGATGAAGGATCCAACTCAGGAACAGACGGTGAACACAGCCCCGCACCTTCTACATCTTCAAAGCCAAGGTTGACTTTGAAGATGACTCGCATTGGAGGTCCTGAACCAAAGACAGAGGTTATTCCAAGGAGACAGTCTTCATCACCAAAGCAATGTTCACCATCACAAAGCAGCAGAGGCTATTCAGAATCTGACCATTCATCCAGAGCTGGTTCTGGTACTGATGATGATGATGGCAGTGGACAACGATCGCCATCATTTGATGAAGGATCCAACTCAGGAACAGACGGTGAACACAGCCCCACACCTTCTCCATCGTCAAAGCCAAGGTTGACTTTGAAAATGACTCGCATTGGAGGTCCTGAACAAAGACAGAGGTTATTCCAAGGAGACAGTCTTCATCACCAAAGCAACGTTCACCATCACAAAGCAGCAGAGGCTATTCAGAATCTGATTATTCATCCAGAGCTGGTTCTGGTACTGATGATGATGATGGCAGTGGACAACGATCGCCATCATTTGATGAAGGATCCAACTCAGGAACAGACGGTGAACACAGCCCCACACCTTCTCCATCGTCAAAGCCAAGGTTGACTTTGAAAATGACTCGCATTGGAGGTCCTGAACGAAAGACAGAGGTTATTTCAAGGAGACAGTCTTCGTCACCAAAGCAACGTTCACCATCACAAAGCAGCAAATGCTATTCAGCATCTGACCATTCATCCAGAGCTGGTTCTGGTATTGATGATGATGGCAGTGATGGTGAGGACATGCTTTCCCCTGCAGAACAATCGCGATCGGCGAGTCTAGACGAAGGTTCAGCTTCCGAGGACGGGTTCTCTGGTTCAGATGCTAGCGATCACAGCGGAAGATCATCTCCGTCGCCGTCGCCTCCGCCAAGCAAACCACGTCTCAATTTGAAAATGACACGTGTTGGAGCCCCTGCCACCGAAACGGTGGACTTATCCAGAAAAGATCTCGAAAATGCACCAAACGAATCGCACAGTGATTTTTCGGCAGGTTCTATCTCGGATGGGGGTTCTGATTTTTCAGGGAATCTTTCCGCATCAGAGAGGTCGAATGTCTCAGGCGGAGGCTCCTTTGACTCTGGCGGCGACTCTGATGTGTCTGGTGATGTCTCTGATGGGGGCGGCGGCGGCTCCACTGTATCAGGTGATTTTTCGGATGGAGCCAGCAGGTCTGATAGGTCAGGTGGTGTTTCGGATGGGGGTTCGTATGCTTCCAAGAGATCTCGCTCTGTGTCCGAAGAAGGCAGCCCAGCGCTCTCTCCATCTGGCAAACCACGGCTGAACGCCACGATGAGCCGTATTGGAGGAGGGAGCGAACAAGACGAGCATGGGGGAGAAAAGTCCCAGCTGCGACGCATGATATCCCATGACCAAAATTCTAAGAAAAGCGGAAGCGTTGCGAGTAGCAGCATTAGTGATGTCAGCGAAGGTGTGAAAAGTACTGGGTCGAGGCTATCGGTTGCATTCGCTAAAGGCGTCATTGCGGACATTGGGAAGACCTTTATGTCCGAAACAGGACCAATGGTATCAGAGGGTTTCGAGGACTACAACGCTGCCAACCACGCCATAGGTGCGAACAATTGACTTCAGTTCCTGGGCGACCGTTGTTTTTGTTGCAGTGCTCTTACACCTGTTGCTTCCATGCTTTGCACTCTTTCTCTCTGTGCTTTTCATTTCAGAAAACTTCAAGCATTTCAAGGAGCAGCCTGGGCTGAAGCAAGCTATCCTCTCGTTGGTCGCAACAGTGCTGATGTCTCTTGAAGAAAAGGATGTTCTGGATGAGATTTTTCATGCCATCGATCGCGACAACGACGGAAAGCTGTCCCGAGAAGATTTCCGTTACGGAATGCAAGAGTTCTGTGGCGTTGATTGTGTCAGCGAGAATGAGCTACGCAAACTGTTTTGGAGGCTCGGTCATCACGCTGACGACCTGGCAGAGTTTGTGGAGTATTCAGAGTTCATCATTGGAGCTTGTGACAAGTCGAACATGCTCAGCGGTGAAGCACTGCAGCAGGCGTTTTCAGCGCTTGATGTCGACAAGGATGGTTTCATTTCAGCTGACGAACTGAAGGGAATCCTTCCGAACAGCGGCGACATGATCCAAAAGATTATTGCTAGAGTTGATTTGGACGGTGACGGAATGTTGTCCTTCGGGGAGTTTTTGTCCATGGTGTTCAAGAGTGCTCGTGTCCAAGCTAACACTAAGGAACATGAGTGGAGGAAAGTAGTCCAAGACCCCGATCCTGTGAATACCTCTCAACCGTCTCTGGCTCCGAAGCCGAAGCAAGAACGAGAATGGAAGTACAAGACAGCACCCAATCGCCCCTCGTATGCTGGTGACGAGCAACTAGCTCCAAAGAAGCAATCGAAGGCTCTTGTGAGCGAACTCAAAGGCAAAATTCCACGAATCGGCGGCCCCAGTGAAGATGACGACGGCGAATATGGCTATGGGACTATCCCTGAAATGGGGCATTCTGAGAACAGTGACAGCGATGATAGCCGATACATGAACCCTGTACAAATGCCTGGGAATGTGATGGATCAATTGAAGCAGGCCCAATCCAATCTTGCCGACACTTTACATCATGTTACAGAAGAGGAAATGCAGAGGAAGAGAGAAATTGAAAAACCATTAATTGATGAGTTGAAGGGTGCCCTGGTGGACTTGAAAGACCACTTGCGCCATGTGACTGAAGAAGAGAAAGAACGCCCTGCAATTCCTGACCGTCCCTACATTACAGAGTTGAGGCATGCTCAAGCAACTGTTTTGAAGGAGTGGAGCACCGAAAACTACCAGTACTGGATCTAGGTAGCTAGGCGATGTTTATGCAATGCGACCAACATTCGGATCGAGGCCTCTAGTTAGCTACTAGCTAGTGTTGACGGCCAGTGATGCAGGTTCAAGTATTGTTGCAGGACAACTTGGCCTTTGGTCTGGTTCCACCATCAAAAGCTAGAAATTCCTGAATGTGGTCTCCTTGGTAGAGGCAAGAGCGCACCGGAGAAGAACCAACTCGGATGAAAGCCATGAGACCAGCCAGGTACAAACAATAGGCAGGGTCTCTGGAACCAGGGTGATAGCAACAAGCTTTGCCATTCCGGAAGTCGTCTTGTTCGAATATTAGGTGCACAGTGCACAGGTTTAGCTAGATGTCTGGTTTGCCGAATGAGAAAGTGGTTGCCTCAAATCAAAAGTCAGTGATGCATATGGCCTGGGTGGGACCTTTGAAAAGCTGGATTCAGGCGTCGTGCCACTCTTCCCCGAGTTGATGACCGCAAGAGGAATGTACAGGTCGACATCTCAAGGACTTTTTGAGCAAGCCGAAGGGGCCACTCGAGTGATTGTATACTGGTAACGGTACACAAAGCCCTTGTCTACGAATGCTGCCATGAATGTCGAGGCGATGCGCTGGTATGATGGAGCGATCGACAGGGCCTTGAATTCAGTTGATCTGGAGGCATACACTCCGTCCTCGTCGGGATCTGCAGCTGCTGCCCGTTGGGCATCTTCGAAGATGCTAGGAGAGCTGCAAGGGGCGAACACGCCATGGCTGAGTATGTATTTAGAGAAATCACAAAGGCTGGAATGCAAGAGTTCGCAACGGCTCAGTTTCATGTGTAGCAGGCACGAGCTTTTAAAAATGACGTTGTGGACACTCTTTTATCGAGCAAGTTTGATTTGATTTGATGGTTCCAAAGATACTACTGTATCTGTCACACTTACTTCCACTTTTCTCCAAATGGAGGCTTCGCCAGCTTTTCCGAGGGGACAAAGACGAGGTTGCTCGGCTGCTAGACGGTCTCTTTCTGGATTCAGAACATAATCCAGCAAACCGAAATGGGCCGAGCGATGATTAGTCTACATGTATGTAGTCTAGTTTGGCGTCCCATCCAGAGGTTCTCAACTCATCATCGATTCTGTGGAAGCAGCTCCTTGCGGGACTACATTCATGAAGCGCTTTGGTTGCCGTGGCGTCAAGGAAATTTGAATTTGCATCGCCCCGCGCCGATGAATCCGATGCCGGGTTCTTCAAAATGCTGAAAACCATGGATGCAAGTCGTTGCTCTCCATGGCGAACCTTCCAATTAGCTAAGCTTTTATTAAAAAGCAAAGACATGAGCCAGCTCGCTTGTGCCTTTCCAAGAAGGCCGGCCAAGGAAGACTCCGTCTTGGTCGTGGTCGTTGGACTTGCTGCAGCCGCCATCAATAGGCTCGGAACATCCATCGGGTTTCTGGATTCCGTCCTAGCTAGTACTAATACGCCCTTGAATTCGGCGGTGAAGTACCGTATGGTGCGCCAGGGACTCGAGGCTGGACAAGGTAAGGTGGAACAAGTTTTGATCTGACCACTGACCATCGACCATGAGGTGACATGCGCACAAGCGTTAGCAGACACAAGCATGGAGCTTCGTTGATGGCTTTTTGAATACGATAGTGAGTACTGCATTTGGAGATTCTTTACTCTACTTCTACTACTATTGTAGACTACTAACTAAGAAGTAGAGTAGAGTACGGTATTTTTACCGTAGCTAAAGTTGGTTTTCAACCTTCGCTTTGTCAATCTTGCGACCTTTCGAGGTTTTGGTGTCTTGGTCTTGGAACTTGGAATAAGATACTATTTTTTAATAGTATCATAATAGACCTGGTAACAAATTATTGGTCTTGCAGAAAAGCCTAAATAGAGAAGCAAGAAGTGATGTTGTTTCGAATGTTTATTGCTGTAAATGCAGTTTTCCGTGACGCTGGAGAAAACACCGATCTCTTGGGGCATATAACCTTAAACACAGAGCTGTAATATCACAACAGTTCAGCTGTACATAAGTACCGGTACTGATCGATCGACAAAGGAGGGAAGTTTCGCTTAAGCAAATTTCTCTTCAGGGAAAGCTTCGTAAGGGAATGTGTTTAATTAAGTGAAAGCCAAAGCTTCGTGGGAATACTGGTATTTCACTGGGTCAGTCCTGCATAATTTGAAGTTTTTTAAAGTCCTGAACGAAAACGCGCGGTCGGGGATTGACCATTCCTTTGCTAGAAGGAAGGAGTTTCGGGACAACTAGCTAGATCTACATGCAGTTCCTGTACAACCTATACTTGTACCATGTACCGGTACAGGAACTGCTTGATGCAAGTCGTTGCTCAGGGGAACCTTCCAAGCAATGACACGAGCAAGCCAACTGTTGCCTTGAATCCTGAATAAAGCTGCCCCGGGTATCGTTTCCTGAATACAAAATTCTGCATGCATTATTGCAAATGCAGCACACCTAGCTAGCTAAATAACGGGCAAGCGCAGCTGGTTCCTGTTGCTACATGCCCTCCTTCCATCTGCGGTATCCGTCTTCCATCTTCCATCAGCTCACAAAATTTGAAGCTTTCAGCTATCCTTCAAATCCAGCTCAAGAGCAAAGTATTTTAAAAAGTGTGCACCATGAAGATCACTTCACTCCCTCTCTTTTCCGTTACCATCATGGCATTGATGGCCATGGTCCGTGGTGATGCTGTCTGCCTTACCCTCAATGCTGTGGCTACCACAACCGAGGTTATTGAAACAATTTCGGTCCCAGCTGGAACCACCCAGGTTGAATGTACTGTCAGATGTGACGGATCCCAAAGCTTCTCAGTTGATTTGTGGGTTGATGGGTTCAATCAGGATCCCACAGATGGTTGTCCAGAATTTTTTATCACCAGCACTTTGTTCAACCCCGCGGCCGATCCCACGGAGGTTAGATATAAAACAAAAGCAGGCGAGATGACCCTGGACATTGAGTGTATTTGCATTGGTGCTCCTGCTCCCACTCCATCTCCCCCCTCCAATCCTGCTCCTGCTCCCGCTCCCTTTTGTTTTTCGGAGGAAGCTTCTGTGGCAGTGAAAACACCCAGCCAAGTCCCTGTACCCACCAAGATGGTGGACCTCAAGATTGGAGACATGATCTTGACCGCCAAGAACCAGTACCAACCAGTCTATGCATTCGCCCACGACGATGCCACGACTGACACGGAGTTCCTACAAATCCACACCACAAGCAGGAAGAAAGAACCTTGGAAGTCACTGGTCAGCATTTGGTCTATGTGCAGGGCAAGGATGCCCCAGTCACAGCCAAATCCATCAAGGTTGGTGATAGTCTTGCCCATGCTCAACCTGGACATGGACAAGGAGGAGCTGCTCTTGTCACCAAGATCAAGACTGTCCAGCGCCAGGGAATCTATGCTCCTATGACTCAGGATGGTACCCTTGTGGTGGATGGCATTGCATCCTCGTGCTATGTTTCCCTCCAGCCCAATGGTGATCCCCAAATGATGGAATTAAACGGCCACTCTGTGTCTCTCATCTCTCACCACCAGGTTGCTCATATGCTCATGACTCTGCCTCGCTTGGTTTGCACCGGCGGGATCAACCCCCAATGGTGCCAGACGTACAATAATGATGGTGTGGCTCACTTTGTGCAGATGGCATTTGATTTGTCCGACTGGTTCCATGCCCAGTACTGGGTGGTTCAGCTGTTCCTTTTGGCTCTGTACTTGGTGGTCTTGTGCCCCCTCTATGCCTTGGAGCTCATGTTTGGTGCCAAGCTGGCTGCCGCTGTGGTTGTTGGTGGATTGGTCTTTGTTGGTTTTGTTGGTGGAAATATCAGTGCTCCTGCTGTGGACCCGATGGACTTGAAGAAAGAAGCTTGAAGCTGTTTATGTTTGAGGGCAAGACCAACAGGTTGCAAGATTAAGAATTCATAATGACAAATTTAAAAAAATATATAGTGAAGGGTGGAAAGTTAACGCACTATTGAAAATAGCTAGCCAGTTTAGAGTCCACAATTCGTTCTTTAATTCTACCGGGTGGTACCATCAAGAGATGATAAGGGGGGTTTAGAGTAGGGAAATTATCTACGGAAGCCAGCCGGGGTGATGTCGCGATGTCGCCACCTTAAAATTTGTATGTACAGCATAGCACTCCTTGACGGTTTGCGAAGCTTTGCACTAATAAGGAATTGCGACCATGACGCCAGCCAACGATTAGAAGACAGTGCCATCTGGCAAGTTCAAGCGAATGAGAGCTGGTTGAAAGAGAGTCCAAGCGATTGCATGAGATTAAATCGTTTGAGCCACGGTCAATGGACGAAAGATGACACTAGCTAGCTAGTAGAGAGGAGAACACGAAGAAAGGTAACATGCCTCCGACGGCTCGATTATTGCTGCAAGTCGTTGCTCTGGCGAACCTTCCAGGCAAAGACGTCGTTCCATCGTCCAATCTTTGCATGATTTGAAGCCTTACGAGGTCGTGGCTCAGGCCGCTGTTGATCGACAGTCGCGGGATCCCAACGAGGATGGCTGGTTTGGCCGCGCCACGATCATTGTAGTGCCTGCTCACTCGCAGCTGTGAATCATCTTGGACTCCGATCCTAACCATGGCCTCGGGTGTGACTATGGAGGTGGTACGATGTACCGTAGCTAAGTTACGCTGCAGGATGAGGCAAAACGTTGCTCTGGATTCTTGCTGACTT